TGACCAATTCTCAATGTCTCCTAAAAAATTCATTATATGATGACCATGAAAATTTTGAGCTACTAAAATTGAAAGTAGACTACTACCGGTTATACTCATCCGCTAGAGTTTGGCACTTCACAAAACGACTATTTTTAGAATTAGCCTTCCGCCTTTAAGTCTCTCATCATCTCACCAAATCTGAAAGATAATGCAATTTCAGACATCAAATTCCAAATCTAGACCAAATTTTACCCAAAAATAGGCAGGCAAAAACCCCAAAAGGGAGAGAGAAAGAAGATTTCTAAAAATAGCCTGGACTACATTCCTATACAATCATTTGCATAAAATGTTTTAGTGGAGTGAGTCCTATATAAGTGGTCGAGTTCACCTTATTAGTTGTTATTCCCCTTTAATAATTTCCTACTTTCACTTTAACTCGTATTTCCCAGAATGTGTGTTTGTTTTATCAACTTTATCTACCTCATCAGTTGTACAAGAGACGACAAACTGTGAGTTGACATTCTTTTTTTTAAAATATATTTATTATGAATTTCCATATCGCCTCTCCCCATTGAATCCCATTTGGCCCTTTCCTATTTCGCCACTTGGCATTATGTTCCTTTCCGATTCGCCCCGTCACCATTCGCTCCTTAATGACCTATTCCCTAACCGCCTCTTTCCTGCTGTCTAACAACATTGGGCTTTCAATTGAATATTTCTTCTCCTTTAATAAATATGCAAAATAAAATTTTCTACTTTATATTATTCGTCTTAGATTGTCTTCGGGTAAATAAGGTTCAGTGATTTTACATTTGAATACACTTCCCGCCCAGAAAATTCATATGAAAATGACCTACTTTTGGGACTGAAAAGTCCTCTCCCCTCTATTCTTGTTCAATAGTTGTTAGTTCTTATTTGTCCTTATATGACTTTTACTGGTTCTAATCTCGCCACTGTAAGTTATACTAGTCTGAAACTTCCCGACTCTTATCTAACCTTATCAGACAACTGCCTGAAAATTGGAATGGTGCAAATTGATGCTATCAAAACACATAAAAAAATAGGAAATCTTTTTACAATCCCTATAACATTTTATATTCTAGGCTACAGTTATAAGACATTTGTTAACATTAACTTGCCATGGCGACCTCTCATCACAGACAGTGCTCGATTTGCCTAGAAGATTTCAAAAAACCCAAATTTATTGATTGTCATCACACTTTTTGTTTAGAATGTCTTCGAGGTTTGAGCACATATGCTCCAAGACCTCTGAAATGCCCTGTTTGTATGAGGGTATTTAATCTACCAACTGGAGGTGTGGATCATCTGACGGCTAATTTTTACATGGACGTCAATGAAGATTCACAAGAAGAAGATGAAGGCAAGGTAATTGGACAAGAAAAACAGCAAAAACAGAAGAATATTGAGAAACGAATAGCAGAACGTAAAGCAATTCAGCTGAAATTCCTATTCGATTTAAGATATACGGAATCATTCGGTGGTGTTTTTTTCATGTTCCATTTATTTAAGAACAATACAGATGAATGGGGAGAAACTTTAGCATTACGTATTTTTCTGTCTAAGAAGGAAAGCCCCTTCGTTCATTCCTGTCAAGTAGACCATTATATCACTCTAGTAAATCAGAAAGATATAAAGTTTTCAACGAAACGAACTGGACAATGTAGCTTTCTACAAGTCGCCGACCATCCTTATAGCACTAAATTTGAGATTGATTTGATAAAATTTTCTCATGTGACGGACCCAGATTATGGTTTTATCGTAAAGAAGTCTAAAGACATTTTCACCTTTAGGTTCCTGATTGGCATTATTCTGACAAAAATTAAGAAAGTCGAGTTTAATTTAGATTGACAGCCATGAACAATAACGTGGACGACGAATGTTCCGGAATACCTAGGCCAAATTTTTTTTTCTTAAGACTGCCATATATAGAATAGACAGATTACTAATTTATTAACATATATTCTAGACCCAAATCAACCCCTGAATATGGTGAACCTATCCCTTTAAAGAGGCTCGGTACGTTCAAACATGTTTCTATAGTCTTGGCTACCTTCCTAAAGTCTAAATTCCATTTGCAATGCATTTTAATGTTTTACCAGAAGAAGCTCAAGTGGAAAGGCTTTCCCGAAGTCAGAAAAACATAAATTAACTAGAGTCTTCAAAGACTTGGGAGTAGCTCATACTAAAAACGTACAGCAAGAAATACAGTAAAACAAACCTTGCGTTATAACATTCCTTGAAAATCCTTTATTTCTTTGGTTCACATCCTACTCCTCTGTTGCCTATGAAGGTTTCTGACACTGATTTCAGGCCCGCAAGCCAGAATTTAACATGTGATTTGAGTTGACCAATCACACAGCCTCCATTTTCCCGCTTTAGTGTCGTCACTGTGACGTTTTAGAACACTAGCCAATCATAGAGCTAAGAGGGAATTGTTTTCCCGCCATTTAAACGTCACGTTTCGTAAAGGTGGCGCGAAAGTCGTTTGACCAATCCTAAACAACCAACTATCGTTTTGCTTAACGTCCGATGACTTTTCAGAGGTTTTAAGACCAAATTTGTATTAATTCCTAATTTGATAATTGCATATTATTTATCGTTTATTGTATTTTTAATATAATTTTTCCGAATAAACATTTACAAGTGAAAATCAGGCGGTTTCCAAGCTATTCTGGACATCAATTAAGCTGAGGTTCTATTCAGCCTAATTCAGGCCTAGGCTAGGCCGAGATGAGACCTTCATATTTGAAACCTAGCTGCCCTCTGTCACATTACGAAACTATACGCTGACTCTTACATAGAAACACACACGAACGTAGTTCGCAACCATTTTAAATCACTTCTTCGACTAAATAAAGTCGAATTTTGATAAAGGATATAATATTTCAACAAACCTTCAAATCAAATTTAAAGTTTTAGAAATGGTTTTAAATGTGATTTGAAGAGTAGTTGAAATATTATAGCCTTGTTTAAAATGTGACTTATTAAGTCGAAAAATTGATTCAAAATGGATTGCCCTCCCGAAAAAACTCTGACAAACGACCAATTCCATTACTGCAACTAAACAACATTCCCTCCCGAATAATCAAGTCTGGCTACGGGCCTAGCAACCGACAATAATGGCTCTGGTACAAGTTATAAATGTATACAGTGGTGTAACCTATTTTCGTGGATATAAGGATTCAACACCGAATTTCGTCAAAGTTAAAAAAACGAAAAAAAAAATTTATGTCTTAGATGTTTCCTCAGATATTCTACAAAATAATTAAAATTGGTTTATTTCGATTTTCTTTATGAATCCTTCACTTTGACCCATATTTCATGAGCAACCAACTCGGCAACGGCGGCAGAATGCGTCACCTATTTTCGTGTACATTGTTTGATCTATAAATAAGTCTAGAAAAACACGTTGTATGGATACCGGGTGGTATAAGTAACTTCTCTTAGTATTTATCTTTAATATCAATTCATTATAACTAATGACAATTCCTTCAAAGAACCACGATTTTTAAAAAAAATAGTGACTGACAAAATAAGATACGTAGCGTGATTTATTGCTAAAAGTCACTAAAACAACATAAGAATATGGTCCACTTTGTGTTCCATAGAAATTTTCTGCTGACACAGAATCCGCTAGTTGATCACGTGACTTCATTCGTTTGAATATATTCTAGCAGACGACACTTGGAATTCCGATTACTGCTTGGGATTGTAAGGAAATTCGGCCGATAAAAAATGGTGACGTTTGGTAATAAGTGAAATCCGCCATTTTGTATTTGTCAAAGTATACATTATTACACTTTACCTTGCTTGAAACTACTGGATTCATTCTACTAGCTGATATTGTAGAGAAAACCCATGTTTATCAAAACAAACTAATGCGGAAGGTCGCTCTTGTAAATTATTAATACTTGCCGGAAATCCACGAATAATAGGTTTCCACGAAATTAGGTTACTTGACTGTATATTATGAAAGGTAGGCCTACAGAACACTGTTATTTTGTTTTCATAAGTTACGTCCCTTGGATCTTGGAATAAAGGTTGGGATCGGTTATTTGTTTGTTTTATAAATTAACTGAATGAGAATAAGCCCTTTTTTTCGATTGCTATAGTCGTGGACTTTGGGACTATTTTAGAGCTCAAAATAGTCGGCAATGTCGCATTTGATTATCCAGAGATATATTAAGTTACATAGACTTTCATGAGACCGTTTAATCTCGACTTCACATCAATTGTAAACAAAATACTACTACTGAATTGATAGTTTACAAAAAGTGCATTTTACTTGCATTCAGTAATTTATTAGTTTCGTCCTTAGTCAAATTGAGATCAATGTTCAAAAATATTAATGAATTAGCCAAGTATCTTTAGATTTTTCCAACTGACTGATCTAAAGGAAAGAAGCTTAATGAGGGATTTGAAGGGGAGGAAGTAGTCCGAAACATCTGACATGATCTAATTGCTAATAGTGATATTTTATTTACATTTTTCAGTTATCCATTATCAATGGTTTTGTAAAGATCTTTTCAATATCTCTGTATGTATTAGGAGGACTGTCTCGAATATATGAAATGGATTAAATGAGTAAATGAAGTGTTATGTCCTACTGACTCTGTTATAACTGTCCTGTAAAATTTCAGTTGTAGGCCTACTGTGAAAAGCGAGTTGCCGAATCAAAATAAAATTGTTGAAATAGATAGTTCCAGGTCTCAAGTCGGCCTACTAGACAAGTTTATACCTTAATTAAACTGGTGCTTCACTGATTTCTAATATGACCGACTACTGTGATGTGCAATTTTCTTGGACGTCTGACAAGTCCATAGATTTAATAACAGAATATTCCGTTACTAACGAAGAGACAGATCTCAGTTTATCAAATGAATTGGAACTATCTCGCACTAATAATGAGGATTGTCAATTTGAAATTTCGTGTAAGTCTTTATATAAAGTAGCAGTGGAACAGTTTGAAATTGTGACAGAGGCCAGAGTTGTGGAGCTTTATGACTATACAGAGGGGTATCTGCTATCTCAGAGAGGGGTGCCAGTTTCCAGTCAGAGTTCAGATCAAGAACTGTATAAAATAACCTGTACATTATCAACTCCTATTAGAAAATTCTATGGAAAGGTAATTTTTTGATTTTTATTTTTTTTAATATGAAATATCTACTGGCAGAATGGTGATGGAAACGGAAAACTTGTACTGGCATCACTTTCACTAGTTAAACACTTCATTTTTATTTGATTGTAAATGAACTAGAGAAGTTATATGTTCAATTTAAAAAATGACACAGATAGTTGAACATGTGTTGGCTGGTTTAAGCGAAGACATATCCCTTTCCATCTACAAACCCATAAGGTGCTGACAAATGGGATGTAAAACCCCATTCATTTCGTTTAAATGTTTTTTTTATCATGTTTCAGTTCAAATCTATGCCTAATAAAGACCGAGTGAAAGTTTACAAGATCAAAATTAACGTAACAACATGTGATGATATTTCACTGTCTGAGAATACTGGCGATACCATCAATGTTCCTAAATTAAAACAGTTAGTAGCGGAATTAGGAGACGAAGTTCCTGATAATGCTAAATCTTTATTAGAAGCCATGGAACAGTATCAAAAGGTAAAGCTTTTCTAAAACAATTCCTCTTCAAATTTTTGTCTACTTTAGTTTTAATACAACTCTTTATTACAATTAACGTTTAAATATTTAAGAATATACCCTGTTAATTGGTGCACTGTTACTTATTCCCCCTCTTATCTGTTATTTTTATTTAGGTATCATTTGTTATCAGTCGTGCTGCTAGCAGTACAGAGGCAGACTCTTAAGCTTTTTTCATGTTTTCTTAACATAAACCACTTATATATCATTTCAACTCAGGTTTCAGTAAATAAATCCCTTGATCAGTGGCATACAAAGGCTGAAAATGTTTCATTTGAAGTAAAAATTCATCGATTTCCCAAAATTCATCTTAGGCCATCTGAAAACTGTTGGCTTCTGAGGGGCCCCCTAAAAGGGGCTTTGGCAGGTGCCTTGAAGAGACACACCGTCAGGCATTTTCTAGATACCCCCTTCCTTAATGGATGAGGATTTCATCCAAATTAATGATAAATTGTATTTCAGAATAAAGTATCAACAGTGGATGATATAAAACAGCAACTTTGTCAAGAATCCATTGGACAGGATACTTCTATGTCTGGTTTATCTAAAATGGTGGCCATGTTTTCTCAGCTGAATGCGTCCACCAGTTCGAATCAGTCTCCAGCAGCCTCCCAGAATGCTTTATTTTCAATGATCAGTTCCGTACAAAATGGCCAGCAAACAGATAATGAAGGAATGTACCAGTTTTTAAAAACTATTTGTGGACAGGTGACAGATATGAGAGCTCCTATCCCATCTCCAACTGATACTGAGGAATTAAACAAGAATGAAATGAGGTGGGTACCAGTAGTTCTATTCACAGAATTAGAAACTAACTTCAAATGAAAATATTCCCATGGTTGTATTAACATCACAGCAATGCCAACCTAAGACTTTCATTTCAATCTTAAACCAAAATCTATCTGTAACATTTTATAGTGATAGTTGTAAAATCTTTTACAATTTTTATTTTTTATGTGTGTAATGTACATTGATTTTTATTTTTATTGACTTGACCGTTTTTATGTTATTTTTACCATGCTGGTTATTATTATGTTAAATGTACGATGTATTTCTATATAATTATTATATGAGTGTATCTGCACCACTGAGCTGCTATTCTACCAGGACTGTTGGGGCATTATAAATACAATGGCTAATTCACAGTATGTACATTTTAGCAACAACAATGTCCTAATCTTATTGAAACTATGTTTTTTTATTACAGAAAAAGTGAAATTCTTGCCAGTGGTGCTGCTAGCAGTACAGAGGCGAATACTAAAGTTGATGAAAAACTGCAAGAGTTAGAAATACAAGTTTTAACCAAAGTGGACAAGAAAATTGATGCCCTTGAACAAAGACTTACGTCTAAATTAGACTTAATTTTACAAGGACTCAATATTCAACCTAAACAAGAGATGGATTTAGATTAATAAAGGGTTTTTTTCTAAATTGTCTACTTGCAACACTTCAGAAGGCATCAAAATTTCCATCACGGTTATTTGCTTTACCAACTGAGATAATCTAAACATGATGCCTGGTTCTCCTGTAATTCAGCAAAAACATGATGTGTTAGAACAGTTATAGGTAGGGCTTGGTATCAATTACAAAATTGAAATATATTATCGATGGCAGACTATCAATCAATAATCGAAATGATTTAATTGATAAACCCTGTAAATTCCACATGTCTTAAGTTCATGAGGTATATATTCTTGCTTTGATCAGTTATTACAGTTTATTGTAAATTATGTGCTGAAGAGATTACTACTTGGTAATGAGTACACTGGAGAAAATGTAACTTTGGCATATAATGGATTATGAAATTTGATAATCCATAAATCCATAATTCAAGTTATAAATTCCTACGGAAGATAATCGATTATTTCGATCATCTTACTCAGCCCTTTATACAAGAATAAACACACAAAACTAAAAAAAAGGTGATATAAATATTTAATGGACGGATAAGCAGCACTTATGTTTACATAAATCAATGAAGTCATATTACATAAACAATTTTGTTATTTACAAAAAAAGATTAAACTGAGAACAATGAAATTGTAGTCATATATCTGTTAAGATGAAATCGGCCATTTTCACCCAAAGTGAAAGTTATAAGGCCTACATAGAAAAATATCACAGAAATTCTCTTCAAAAACATACATAGAGAAAGATGAAATGAAGTAGTCGTATACCATAACATTGTGTTAATGTGATCTATACACCTAAATGTCAAGAAAGAAAAGATATGAGTGCTCTCTATCAATATTATTCTCGTTAATATAGAAATAGTTTTCATGTTATTCTGAGTTATTCTTCAATCTGACGTATTTATAACACTGGATAATAATTCTACATCACGAGGAGTAGGGGAGGATAACTCTTCACCTAATTTAAATACACTAACATAACCTGCACCATCACCAGTTGCTATCAGATTTCTTCTGCAAAAAAAATAAAAAAAATATATTATAACTATGGTGAGATCGTTTTCAAGTTTCCTTTCAGTGATGCTGTTTGGAGGCGCCGACATGGAAAAGTGTCAATTGGGACAATAAACAATATGCTCCTGACGTAAGTTTAATTCAATTCAATTCTAAAGAATCAATTCAACCAATCTAAAAAGTAAACGAGGGAGGTGTTGATATCTTACTTACTTGTTACGATTAAACTGTAATGTATATACAGGGGAGTTGTTGACACCAGCCTGTATTTTATGTAATGGCACTAACTGGCCAGTCTTTAAATCATATATCAGTATATAACCACTCTCTGTTACTGCTGCTAATAATGTTGGTTTGACTGGGGACCATTTAGCTGAGTAGAGATACCCTTCCCCTGGTTCTACTATTACTGTAGGTTGATCCTAAATAGGGAAAACAGTAGGGTTAAAGATCTGTCAATTCTCAACGATAGAGTAGGCTAATGTTGTTTGCTGATATTTGTATGGGTTATATTCCTAATCTTTTGGACTCTCAATACCTCTGCCTACATTTAGATGCCCAGGTTACTCTTTGTAAACAGCAAAATGAATGTGGTCCAAAGAATGTGATTTGTGCATACAGACATGACAGAGATGTCTCGTATTATGACAAAACCTTCTACACAATATTGGAGTTTTTGTTGGTACCACTAAAGGGGCACTAGTATACAGGAATGTATTGTTTGGAGTCTTGTGTCTTCATTATTCATTTGTAATCTGGGACATAAAAGTGGAATAAAAATTCTGCCAATTGAAGCAATCATTTTCATTCATAAATGACATATGAGCTCGCCACTTAAATTCATTAAAGTTGAGTATAGAAAAGGAATTTTGTAATTATAGAACCTTCGTTTATAGCAAGGGGTGCTTCATAGACAATAACTTTTACTTACCTGTAAGACGTTATAAACTCGTATACACTGGTCCATACCAGAGGTGATAAAGGCGTTACGATGAAAGGGGGAATAATCTACAGAATGTACAGGACCGTGATGAGGGTTGTAGGTGAAGGTCACAGGAGATCGTAATGGAACTGAAGACACGATTTGACCTAAATTAAAAATTGTATTAAATAGAATAATTGATTTGATCTAATACATGTATCAACTGTCAATTAAAAAATATCAATTTGGAGTTTCAAATCACGAATTTACACACATTGGAAAAATCTCCCGACTTTTCACCCAATCTCCAGATTTTTCAAGGCAAATCTCCAGATTTTTCAAGGCAAATCTCCAGATTTTTCAAGGCAAATCTCCAGATTTTTCAAGGCAAATCTCCAGATTTTTTTTCCTGACCTGTACACATGTATGTTAACTGATCATTATCAATGAATATCTAATTAAAAATGATAGTTTATTTTGTAACTGATATGTGTATGTCTGACAAGTATAAATACTGAAAGCAATGTTTCTAGTTTTTAAACAAGTCTTTAAATATGGACCATCATTTGGGAGATTTAAAATTTAAAAGAAAACTTACTGCCAGCAGGATTCCCTTGTGAATGAAGATTACATTTAAATATACAGCCACTTTCTGAGCCTACTATAAAATTATCTTTATCTTCTGAGTTAAAAGAGATACACGTGGCACCGATTTCTTTATCAGCTCTCACACCTCGTACTTTCATTGATCTGGGTAAACTCTGATTCATCAATACAAACCTACAGAATAAACACAGATCATCTATAAATAATAATATGGAATGGAGTTTTACATCCTAACTGTCTTCAAGTCATGAAATACAGCGAAGTTTTACATCCTAACTTAGAGCATCGTAAAAGCAAATGCGGCCGCCCCCCTTGGCACATTGGCCTGATACTGCCCTAATAAGTTTGCAGCTGATGTTCATATTAACTATTGACCTGACAAATGACTTCGAGGGGATCTACACTTCAACTCTAAAGTGATAGTGATAGTTGGAATCAGCTGATAAAACAAAAATCTTAATCAGTATGATTTTATCCAATTTAATATGATGCAAAATACAAAGGTAAATCAAAACTGTATCTACCTACCCATCAACCAATTTTAACTTTGGTTTCTTTTTACTCATAGTCCAAATAAGAATTTTACCATCTGCACCAACACTCATTATCTAGAATATACAATCAAACAAGAACAGAAGTTATTATTATGATAAGAGCTGTAGAAGACAATGGGCTGAATGAACAAAGGAGGTAGGTGTAAGGAGATAATGGCGACATTGGACTATTGGGAAAATATGGAAAACGGAAAGCTAACCACCATAGATTCATTTATCCACTTGAGTATCTGTTTTCCGAGCCAGTCAAACTAACTCACGACTTACTACAGGAGTACCCCCAAATAGCAGTGATCCTAAACCAGTCCAAAGCCCTACCACTCCACTCCAACAATTCTAGGTTTAAAGACCAACTTAAAGGAATTGTAAAATATTTTTTATGTGTATCGGGCATGCTGATAGCATCAGTTTGCACCATTCCAATTTTTGATGACGTCACTAATCGCAAAGGGTCTTATATAATAATAAAGCTGATTTTGCCACTAGTGATGTCATCAAACACTTAGTTTTAGTGGTACCGGTATTGCAGGAACCACAGATGTCTGATTAAAAATTGGAATGGTGAAAATTGATGCTAGCAGTGTCCCCGATACACATACAAAATTTGGAAAACCTTTTCACAATCCCTTTAAGATGTCCTTACTAAATGTCTTACATTGTATTTTCTTCCCTTAGCTGACTGATCTTTTAACCAATAAACTTTAGCTACAGGTTCACGATGGGCATCATCACCAATACCAGAGGTGGCCACTAACAAATCATCTTCTTTACTCAGATCCCATACCATTACCTCCCCTACAAATAAAAAGTATAAGGATAACAACTTAAGGTGAGGGCACACAACGGTCTTGGTTGGAGACTTTTGTCGTCGACTTTTTGTCGTTTTTCACCTTGTCAATAATCACGTGCAGAGAATGCAATTGAAAATTAAAATGAATCTGATTGGATGATGACGGTCTGTCTTGCCGACGATAAAATTATCAGGGAGACAATTATCAAACTTGTTTGATATTATAAATCCTCTCGGGGACGCGATAATCTTGTTGAAGCACAGGCATTCGTGAGATTTTACTCAAGATTCAAGCAGGCAACAAAAATCTTCAATCAAGACCGCTCATGTGCCCGTACCTTTAATTTCCTTGGGATCCCTTCTACCAACTGGTCATTGGCCAAACCTCTTGGCATTGAGCTGTCTCAAGTAGCCATTAATAGCCCTTGACAGACTGGCGTATTGTTCACAGATTGTCTGTCACTGTCACAGACACTTATAGGCTGTATTTGCTAACCAAATAGCTGCATTTACAAACTTCCGTGAGAAAAAAAACAAAGGTATAAGATAAAGTTCATAAGAGCTTGGTATTGTGAGGATGTAAAATAATGAGCTTCTGTCATTGTAATGGACATATAGGAATGATTACTCACCATTAAAATTTCCCCCTGCTATTAAAGCTGGGTTGGTAGGATGAAATTCAACACACATTAAACAGCTAGGTGAGTCTATAACAGTTTGAGGTTTATCAGCTTGCATGTTTCGTCTATCTAAACTCCATGTACACAGTCCTGATTTGTGGGTACACCAATCTTCATGGTCATATCTCCCATACGTCGCCGCTAAAACTGATCCTGAGGAATTCCATGATACACCTGTTATCTGAAGCTGAAATATTAATTAAATACGGTAATATAATAACTCAGAAAATGCAGAAAATGACTAGTTCTGTATGAATAATGTAAAAATGCAGAGCCATATTCTGATGCAGGTTTTGTAATATCTGTCCACTTTGTCAAGTAGGCAGAAACATTTAATATTATCTTTGTAAGACATATTAGAAATAGAAAGATTACATCAAAACACTAAGATATATGGATACACCATTTTATGTCACCTGTTACCTGTATGCGTTTTGAAACATAGAATGTTATAAATTCAGATATACAGTATATTCATTTAGCTTATATCCTTCCTTTTCTATATCATAACTACTTATGGTATTTTATCTTGTCAAAGAAGAAATGATTAACTGATGCCATCTCCTTGAAATTATTTACAAAATTTCTCAACCATTCCAAATCATTTTAAACCATTTCATTTTGGTTAACAGAATCCTGGTTCACCAATGACAGTAATATCTATTTTCTAAAGTTCACCTCTCAATAGATCACGGGAGGATTTCTGTTAATAGCAAAGTACCTGGCATCTGATCTAGGTGACAAATAAATCCCTAAATATACTATCAAAGACTCACCTCTTGTCTGAGTTCAGCATGACTAAAGGTATGAATACAAGCTATAGATGATGACTCTTCTCCTTTAGCTATAACATAACCTGAAGATAAATCAAGCTTTATGTAATGTTAAGAATTTGTTTCTAGAAAATGCACAATCATATATTCATTCATTGGAAAGCAATAAGCCAACTATGGTTAAAACCTTAGGAGTGACAAGGAGTGAGAAAACCTGGACAATGAGTGAGAAAACCTGAACAAGGAGTGAGAAAACTTGAACAAGGAGTGAGAAAACCTGAACAAGGAGTGAGAAAACCTGGACAAGGAGTGACAAAACCTGGACAAGGAGTGAGAAAATGATAAATTATCAAAACAAGAAGAGCAGACTGCACATTCTGAACAAGTCAATAAGACAATGAAAGATGTTACCAATGTATACCCTCTAAATTTACCTTCAAAAGCCACACTTTTGTTGTTCCTTTCAATCATCTTGATCAGCTCTGGTTCAATTTTTCTCAGAAATTTGGCCAGTTTTTCAGGGTCTGTTTCAGCAAGTTGAAAATCACCCCCTTCATTTTCAGTTTGTGTCTAAAATAGAAATACTACTAACTTTTACTAGCCAGAAGGAATTTCTTTATCCAACCAAAACACTTATGCCATTTTGTGACTGGTTCGATCTGATTAGCATGCTTAGAATTCATTGGAAAATAATTTGAGGTTGTTTCCTGTCCTTTGCTGCTTGGTTCCCGGTCGTTTCTTGCTTTCATCAGATTTTCCTGGTCATAACTGGTCGTTAACTGGTCGTATAATAGTAACGGAAAGGTGACTTATTCAAGTCATCACAAGTCAACCTAGATTGGTACCTGCAATCATCACACAAAAACTTACTCTTGGCATTGAGTTCTCCCATATTATTTGTGCCAATTTACATCTAAAACAATTCGGCAGGGAAAATAACGGAAAGGTCACTTATTTAAGTCAACACAAGTCGACCCAGATAGCAATATATGACAAGTTTTAAGTTTACCTCCTCATCATAGTATTCTCTTGATTGAACCCTGACCTCATCAACTTTCAACTCCTTCGTTTGAACTCCCACATCATCTGTATATCTAAATATATAAAAACATTTATCTGAACACTGAGTTTGATTTTTTGTCTTCATCAGACACTTGGTTGAAATGTATTTCTATGTTCTAAGCGATTTTAACTTTTTATCCACATGATTATGTTACAGGCTCGTAGTCTGAATTTTCTACCAATTAACAACGGAAATTTTAACGTAATCAGACGAAAAATCTCCCCCCCCCCCTTTTTTTATTTGTAGGTCTAATACTATTTTCTAGTCAACAGCTCGATATGAATATCAGAATATCTACCTTTCCTTTTTCCAGTTAGATTTAAACTCTATCGACTCAAGATCTTCGTCAGTAAACATTGCTAACTAACAATCGAAAAGATTTCAAATGAAATATTTCTTCATTTTCATTTCTTGCTGTCAACCAAAACAAAATAAGGAATTCGTCTGCTTGACAGTTCGATGAATACTTCCGGTGCATTAATTTTCTCTTATGTTTTTTAATAATAAATTAGAAACTACATGGAAAGTCACTAGTCGGATGACAAGGAACCAAAGATATCTGTGAAAGAATGGATTTTTTATCATGAAGTTCGAGAAAATCAAATTATCATTTTATCCAATTAGATTTGAGAACAAATTCACTTCATAACATGTAAACATTCAAAATGGACGACGCACAAGCACGTGTTCAAAAAGCTGTCAATTCCATGTGGAATACATTGGACAAAGATTGTTTACGGAAAGTGCAGGTGCGGATAAATGTTCTATAACATTGAAAGAACATATTTTTAGTCATTGACCTGGGGGAAACTTACCGTATCTCCATAGATGTTGTCCTCAGAATATGACCTCTGTCATCATTATCTGACAATGACATGTCTATCGTGCCTTTATTCCATTTTCTGTGAATTTTCTTTCAAGTGCTTTCTAAGTCTTTTTTATTACTTTGACGTTCTTGTCATCTTTATTGCAATGCCATTTTTGTCGTGTCACGATTTTTATCACATGTCATGTCATCTTTATTATTAAGTCAACTGACAAGCCACAAGGTCATTAATATTCAGAGCAATATTTTCCTCATATCATATTCATAACGATGTCACCTGTCATGTCATCATCTTTCTCACAATGTCATATTTAGATCATCCATGTCATCTGGGCCATCATTATCACACTGTCATCTGACATTGGTAACTGTCATGTCATATTTATCACAATGTCATCTGACATAAGTGTCATGTCATCATCTTCATCAAAATATTAACTGACATAACTGTCATGTCATCATCTCTATCACCATGTCATCTGACATACAGTAACTGTCATGTCATCATCTTTATCGCAATGTCAATTGACATCATTGTCATTCTCACATTGTCAACTGATGTCACTGTCATCTTCCTTACTATATCATCTGACATCATCTTTTTTTAACACAGTCACATTTGAAATCTATGTCATGGTATCTGCTCACAATGTCATTCTCACAATGTCAACTGATGTCATTGTCATCTTCTTTACTATGTCATACGACATAAGTGTCATGTCGTCATCTTTATCAAACACATCCACATCTGAAATAAATGCCAATATCATCCTAATATCCATGTCTTCTCTGTCATGACATGATTTGATTTTTTTTAACGTTTTGAGTTAGTCTGATAAAAATGTCGATCTTGTCAAGATCAACATGATTCATCGAACATTTTATTAAGGTTGGGATAGAGTGAAACTATTTTACTATTTATTTTAACCTTGAATTAGAAATATTTATTTTATTTTCTGGAAAATTTTAATTGTTATTTTATGTTTTTTTTAATTATTAGATTGAAATGCTGAACTGTAGTTTAGATTGTTGTAAAAATCAAAGTTTAAATATAGAAGAGGTACAAGGCTGTATGGAAAGATGTTCTAGTAAACTCAGTAATACACAGACTTTTATACAGAATGAATTACAGATGTTTGAGGTGAGGCTTGATATTATAAGTGTATTTTAAGTGTTAAAGGCCAATATGAAACATTGAGCATATACAGGTACAACCAATTCGCAACTGAAGATAGAGAAAGATTTTCACAAATTTGAAAGTGAAAAAAGTTTTGAAATATGATGAAAGAGTAGCCTCAAAAGATATATCTGGAAATTTTTCGATTTAACCTCAGCTTTTGTAAAGATTGAAATTATGTGTGGAATTAAAATGTGACAGGTGTCAAATATTGTTGCTTATCATGATTTCAATGAGATCAATGATTTATGTTCACATGGTACAAAACCGTTTCCAGCCTACCCTTGTATATTAGTATGGTACTTCCTCCCATCTACTGCAGTCATTCTCCCTACGCTGACAATAATCTTGTATCTCTCGTATGATGGTACTTCAGATTGTAAAATATTTCATAAACAGTGTGGTAGAAAATCTTAAAATTTATTACACGTTTAATTTAAATTCCTCTGCTTGAAAGTCCAATGAAGACTTCGGTGCATTTTTCTTTTCTAATTTATTACACTAAATGTTTGATTTAAATTTGTTTGTAATATTTCAGGACAGGTTACAGAGATGTGTGAGAGATTGTCAGGATAGAACCAAAGATCAGATTGGTCCCAACCCTTCCGAGACAGAATTACATAAACATAAAGCCGGTCTAGAGAAATGTGTCGTAAAATGTGTTGATAATCATATTGACTTATTCCCCAATTTTATCAAAAAACTTACCGAATCCATCAAGAAAAGTTAATATATTTAATGATTAGATCAGCAATGAAGTAATTGATGTTGGTGTGTGTATTGACTCTTTCTGTTATAAGAAAAGAAGTGTTACTCTAGCCATGCATGCATTCAGGTTACATATTCTTAAAACAACCTTAGCACCAGGATATCCTAGAAAAAGTGTTAGAAGTTAAGCTCGTTTCGAGAATATGTAGACTGTTATAGCATATTATGGCTATGCCAATCCCATCATTTTCAACCTTGAGCTATCTTTTTGTACCCTTGGACAAAAAATCTGACCTAATAAATAAATTGTTTATATGAAATAACATTTGAAAGTGTAGAAACTGGAAAATCCCCATAAAACAGGGCTTAGTATTTCTTTCTCTTCTCCAACAGACGACTTTCAAAATAGCTGGAAGTGGCTGGAGTAGATGAAGCTGTTTGGGTCTATTTAAGGGAATACAAATACTCCAGGAATGGAAACTAGGGAGGTAAGATTTGCATGATAATTTCTAGAGGATGGGTTAGAATTTTCATCACTAGTAATTTTGATAAGGACAATTACTGTCAAAGAGAACAAGGTTATACTATATACATGTATTATGAGTTATATTGTATTTATTTTGGGTTATAAATGATTAATTTCATCAAGATATAAATTTTTATTGGCTGATTGATATACTTGTTTTTTTTTTCTTTTGACACATTGCTTGGATTTTTAACCCATTGAGTGAAGTCATGAAGTCAACATTTTTGTCTTGGATACAGACATTTCAACAATACACATCAGGGGATCTTTTCAAACAAGCTACAAAGTCTACTTTAGGGTAGAAAAAAAACAAAACTTGTTTAGTTTGACTTTGGGTAGAATATGAAGGCCCACTAATCAAGACAATTTATACCAAAGTTCCAGAATGTTTATTTTTGTTATTCTTATGTTATTGGTGGACATGGAAAAGGCATCTTGTTGTTCCTATGGGAAGAAATAAATCAAAGATTGTGTTGGTGCTGTGCTGGTTAAAGATCTTTGGACATCGAAAACAGTAGGCTAATTCCACCTTTTTCAGAATTTGCAGCGGATGTTGGGTTGAAAAACTCAGTTGAAGAGTTCAGTCATCTTGAAGAACGAGCATGCCAGACCCCGCACACTACTCATCTCCCCGCAGCTTTTAGACTAGCAAGTCCAAAATGTCTCTCTCTCGACTGGAGTAGGGTCCAAAAAATTAAGCCCTGTTTTATTAGGATTTTTCTACACTATGAATAGAGGCAAATGTTTCAGCCTCGGATTACACCATGTCTAGTTCTTAGTAACTTGCTGATGCTTTAACAGGCATCTCCAGATTGTCTGTAAAGATGGTACTAAATAAATATAGAGAAGAAAACACTGGTGGTATATAAATTAATAGATAAATATATCCTTTGGTTTATTATGGTCATTCTAGATTCTGTTCATAAATATAAACTCATAAACTTACATGAAAATTCAATAAAAATATAAATTTTTCAATAAGCATTTCATAATTTGTCATGATTTTCTTCATTTTGAAGTTGCTATCAAGTACAACTGTTATGCTTTTCAACTGTAACAGCTTTGATAGATCATCTTCACAATGTCTAGCTATTAGGAACCTCGTCTTAAACCATACCTGCAAAAGCCACTTTTCATGTATCATGAAAGTTTGTAATGCCACTATTTGATTGGATTTTACCCCAGTGAACATAACCAATTAGAGCCCTCAATACAAAGTAAACTATAGTTGTAAACTATGGGGCTTATTAGTTACAGACTTTATGTTGAGAGCTCTGATTGGCTGAAATAAACTATCGTACAATCCAATCAAATTGCTGCTTTCCATGACACAAAAATGTGACTATTGCAGTCAAGGTATAATGCAAAGTTCGTAATAGCTTGACATTATGAAGATATGATAGACTATTTTAAGGCTCTTGATTATTGGCGGTTGGGTCTTTCATTTTCGTTCTCCAAAATTAAATTTCCTATTTTGACAAGATTCTGGGGAGATTGGGAAACAAGCCTGAACACAAAAAACATAAGTTTGGATTAATTTTTCACTCGAGTCATGTATTTGTCAATCACTAAAATCCATTTTAAATTTAATAAAATCAACCAATCAAAATGTTGTTTATTTTTAGAATTTTTATCTTGTCTTTTATAAGTTTACATGAAACAGGCCTCGGCTATATGGATTTAGACTTCATAATAACTCTTTATGTGGTTTTTATATGTAGTTTTCTGTGCACGAGATATAGAAGGGGATTTTGGTATAAACGGATATACAGTATACTGTAGTCTGATACATTTGCTGTACCAACTGGTAGAGCTCAATAACATCTATCATTGTCCGTTTTCAATGTTATGTTTGTAATAGTTTCTTTATAAAAGAAAAAAAGTTTTGACAAAATTTACCAGTCATAATATTCAGTAAATTATTTAACAGTGGAGCCAAGATTTGATTTCATTTGTGAGCTCAGCTTGGAGTTCTATTCTGTTTAGATCTTCCAAATTTGATTGTCAAATATTTGATTTGCTAATTTGGGTGTTGATTTATTTTTTGATATTTTTAATGATTAACTTAAACAAAAACTTTTCTTTGTCTTCTGAAAATTTGAAATAACTTGATGAAGTATTATTAAAGGGCATTCCCTTCCTCTTCGTGAAATTTGATACAAATATATTTCATCAAATACAATGATTTAAACAAATGTTCTCAATTTTAAATAACGTAAACTATATCCATGTAGAATAAACTTTGGGATCCAGTGTTATAAATAGGTGAGAATGCCCTAGTTCTTTGTGGTATATAGTACAATATATTTCATCAAATACCATGATTTAAACAAATGTTTTGGCCGAGCCTTCTCGTTGTGATTTAATGTATCGTAAACGACGTCCATGAAGAGTAAACTGTGTCCAGACTGCTAACTGACACAAGGCACAAACTACCGGTATATATATCAATAAGTTAAAACATCCATTTTTATACATTTCTCGACTGGTTAGATCTAGTTTCTTCACATCAAATTTTATACTTCCAACTTCATTGGCTGTTTGGAATACATCGTGACCTGTAAATAAACACAACAGATTCTGAACATCTTCACAAAGTTAAGGTATTACAAACTTCATTAGGCAATTTTTTCTTCTGTTATCAAAACATAAGTTCATAACACAGAAAAATCATTAAAATAAGGATTTGGTACTGGAACTAAAAAGAAATATTAAAACCTACCAGTTGTATAGGCTAATATCCAAGTTCCAATCAAGGGTGCTAGAGTCTGTCCAGGTTTGGAGAATAAGGCAGCAGTACCAAATATTAATGCTGAGACGGCTTGATGTCTGTGATTAATAACATAGTCTTCATCAACCAGGTCACTAATAACCAGATTCAATAACTTACATGTTCCTTCTGTGAACACTCTATTACTGAAATATAGAAAATACGTAATTTTATAACGAGGAGCTTCAAAAATATTCTGTGGAAAGAAAAATCCAGCTTGAACTCTATTGTCAGTTAACAATATTACATTGTTTGGAAATTATGATGGCGCATAAGCATAACGATTATTTCTGTTTTTATATTATTTTCAAATGACTTACAAAAGAGACATTGCAAAAAAAAACACAATTTTCTCTCTAGATAGCCACCACCTGACATGACATGAAAAAGACTAACGAACCCTTAGACTATTGTTCATTTGACATCTTTGTCCATGACAGCCTCCTTCGCACCGTTCTGCTGCCAAGGAAAAAATCTTTAAAGACTGAAATCCTACCTGGCTATAAATATACATAGTAACCATAGATACGATGGTCCAGCCATGAACATAAATAAACTCAACAATAATTTAATAGTAAATAAAATATATATAACTCTATACACCCCATATCTTCGACATAGAGACAGGAAATACAGGTTATTGATGTGTGGAGCTACGAAAGATAAACCTGGAAATATACAAAATTTCATTTTACATCAATTGTATAAAAATATATTTCAATATATATATAAACCATATCATCAAATCTGCGAACTGAAGCCTTTTTAAAAGGACAGATTTGCAAGAGGCAATATGTTTCTATTTGAGTAATAGATAAAGAATTGATATTTCTACTTCACACTAGGTCACTCTGGTACCGATGTGAAAAGAGCCATGTGTAGTAGCCTAGGTATCAGATTTTTAGGCTCATTTAACAAGCAAGAGGCACTATGTTTCTATCTAAGTAATAGTTGATAAAGAATTGATAATTTACCTATTAATAAGGAACCATATAAGGGACTGACTGTTTCTCCTAGTAAATTCTCCAAGAATAGAGGGAAAAAATTACTGTTAAAATGGCAGTGGAATACCTGAAATTATAAATAGAAATACTTTGAACTGAATCTGATGTTAAAATGCATTGTCAAAATTCCACAACTTGCTCATTATTTTAGACTTAGAAGTAATAATAATAATAATAATAAAATATTTAATATAGTGGGTGAAAAATTAGACTTGATTGAGAACACATTATATAACATTGAGACATCTTTTATCTTGGACAAGCCCAATATCAATTTAGAAATCACGTTGTTTTGAGAAAAAAAAGATTTTTGAACTTTCCTATCATAAATAAGCTTAGTAGTATTGGACTATGACAGTATTACTATATCAAGTTTTATAAGCTTATATAGTGCTCTGCGCCGGCCTCAAATAAACCTATAAGCTTATTGCTTTTCAGAATGGAAATTCAATATAGAACTGATCTTTTACTTCTGAATATTAAACCAACCGAAATCATAAGAAATACCCACCTGAATTAGGTTCATCATAGAAAATAATAGAAAATTTTTGTGTCTAAAAAGTTGAAAAATATAGGATTTAAATGAAGTTTCTTGCGAAATCCTCTCCTTGTCTTCATAAGAACTTATTTCCAAATTGTGAAAACCAGAACTCTGTTTTAAATCTAAATTATTCTGATTTGAATTCAAGTTTCCGTTGTTAGTTTTTGATTGGTTGTAATGTGATTTTAAAATGGACGACATGCACCAGAATCCTAGAAATGAAATTATCGTCAATGCACCACAAAATACACGGAACGAGTGTAAATGTTCTTTGTCCCAAACAGCATAGGATAAAAACACAGATAAGGAGCCGAATGCGGCAAAAATTGAGCACTTTGAATTTAATTTGGTTCGAATTTCTCCAGAAACAGCCAAATCTGCCAAAAGAGCAGAATGGTGGAGATCGATTAAAGTCAGAAAACCATCATAAAGGCACAAACACACCACAAATTGTAACCATGGATACGTCCACGATATCCAAAATCCAAGAAAAGATAACGAAAATAGTGGACCAAATTTTTGTAAAAAGTCTATTCTTTTTAATACTATATCAGATCCATTTTGAGATGATTTTAAATACTTGCTGTCACTCATCCATCCAAATATTGGATCATTACAGGAATTCCAGATTAAAAATACTGTTTCGCCAATCCAGAAGGAGGTTTTGTCGATTCGATACACGGACACGAAGATATCAACATGGTATAGAAGAAAAATATTATGAATTATGGTAATGAAGAATGACATGGAGCCATAACACACCTCGGCTGAAATGGAGATTTTCTTCGACATTTTCAGAGATTTCTCAAACTATTTCCAAAAGGGCACTCTGTTAAAGAAAATTTCTCAAATCAATCCCAGCATAGCCCTTTTATTTAGCTTAAATAAACAATATTTATCAGTTTTTATTATTTGCCATCTGAAGTTCATCCATTTTTTTTCTTCGCCATTTTCAGAGATTTACTCCAACTATTTAAAGCTAGGTACCGTACTTTAATTACAGAAATTTTCTCTCAAAACATTTTTAGCACTTTATTTATCCGTTTCTGTTCATTTGGGCAAGTTTTCAGACACGATGCTCAATTTCCTTGCCATCCACCAGATCAGTATCTTCTCCTAAAATATTCAATATAAAATCATGTTAGATAAATAAACCATAACGAACCGCAAAACGAAACCTGAAATCAAAAACAACATTTTGGCGAAACATTGGTAGCAGCTAATGAACATATAGCCGGACATGGGAAAGAGTTCATATAGCCAGACACAGGAAAGAGTTCATATAGCAAGACACATGGGAAAGAGTTCATATAGCCAGACACGGGAAGAGTTCATATAGCCAGACACGGAAAGAGTTCATATAGCAAGACACATGGGAAAGAGTTCATATAGCCAGACACGTGAAAGGGTTCAAATAGCCAGACACGGGAAAGAGTTCATATAGCCAGACATGGGAAAGAGTTCATATAGCCAGACATGGGAAAGAGTTCATATAGCCAGACACGGAAAGAGTTCATATAGCCAGACATGGGAAAGAGTTCATATAGCCAGACACATGAAAGAGTTCATATAGCCAGACACAGGAAAGAGTTCATATAGCCAGACACAGGAAAGAGTTCATATAGCCAGACACAGGAAAGAGTTCATATAGCCAGACACAGGAAAGAGTTCATATAGCCAGACACAGGAAAGGATAGGTATTAGGGGATCAATGCCATCATTGGGCTGGCTTGGCATAATCATATATGCAGCAATTCCAAACCGCCTATAACTAGTATAGGCTAGTCCTTACGTTTTTAAATTCATCTGAAAAACTTATGTTTAAATTTTTCAAACAGGATATGCCTTAGGCAAATCATAAAAGTTTAAACTAGGTTAATCTGTGCTTGCTCTGATAATTATAGTGGGCCTACATGAACAAACATTTTGACAACTTGAGACCACACAGAAGAAATCTTAACATTAGCAACTTCTTCACAGTGGCATTCTATGAAACCGTTGACATTAGGGGGCAGGTCTAAGAGGAAACAGTTTTATAAAGGTACAGGCCCTTGGAAGTTCTGTCAATATCAATAAAATATGGGCAATGTGGAGAAAATAGTATCAACGTATATGAAAAAAAGAGAAGTTGACAGTATTTTCTCCACATTACCCATATTTTATTAATATTGACAGGACTTCAAGGGCCTGTGAGTGTGATTAAGGAAGGCTTACAAACATGTTAACTTATAGCTATCCCTCTGTGAAATCATTAACATATGATAAAGGCCTCCTATCATCATTTCACTTTGAGATGAACCAAGAATGGTTAGTTCATGGCCTTGGCCTGATAAACAGTCATTGACCATTTATTATACAGGCTTGAATGACATGATAGTAGACCAAGATTGTGATACATGTAATTTTCTAAAAGAGGGCGTGTCCTATATTTCCATGTGTTTAGTCTGAAGTTTTTCTAATTCAAATAAGTTGTATGAACATAGTTTGAATTAAAACTTACAGTATAAATGTACAGTTTATAAACCCAAAACAAACCTTATCCCGTCTAAATATATTTTGACGACATTGTGTGACCGGTCCAGTTGTTTTTTAAGTAAATATTTCCCGTATGTGACAGCAAACTGTCATCAAGTCACTCTTCAATAACAAATATCACGTGATACTAGTTAGTTATCTCCCTTTTTACTTCAGAACACAAATACAGTATCAAGAGTTAATTAATTAAACATCGTATTGGATACAAATTTCGATCTATCCCCTTCTATTTTCAAGAAAGCTCAGTTTGAGAATGTTAATCGATGCAAATGTCATTCATTCAATTTATATATGGATTTCATTACCGTAAATTTGCGGATATAAAATGCAGTTTTGTACCCCGATGGCGATGAGTGCTTATCATCAATCACTGACTCAAAAGGCATCCAAATTGTCTTCAGTCTATCAACCTGTTAATTTAGACTCAATATCAAAGGAACAAATATAACAAATTTAAATATTGATTAATTCAAAAATGATATAAAGTAAAAGAGAAGGACAAGCCTATATAAGAGAGATAGGCTACATAATACAAAGTTTACATATGCAAATAAGTTCAATCATGTGGTGTCTGTGTTAAGTCAACCTCTTTATTTTTTTGTCCAGACACTGTAAGTTTTATTTACAGATGTGTATTATTAATAGTGACAGAGATTTTCCAGATTTGTTGTAGGTAAAAAGGGGTGGGCATTATATTATTTATGTTATCCATTCATGATACTATTTTCATTCTGTACTCTTTCACTCATCATGGCCCAGTGTGCTCCAGGCTCTGAATGATAAAGATCCCTTTACAGTTGGAAATTGAAAGTAGGCTAATGTTGCTGTTTTAGCAAAATTTCCCCTGGCTCCACGGCATTGCCCATCTTCATTAGCTTATCTTAGTAAGAACACTAGGAGAACTTTCCTTTAGGACACCCTTAATCTGGTGTGTAGCCTACTGCCCGACTAGTTTCGTTAAAGTTGAATTCTATAGGGGCAACTAAGCAAGAGTGAAAAGAGTTAGGATGTTAATCATAGTAAAATAATAAGAACTATTGAAATTATGTTGTTTTTATTGGTATATATTTATATACTGTACAGTTTTATATACATACATAAACAAAATATACATTAACATGGTGAAAGCCTCGTACCAAACTATGTATGGTTCTTATATGGAAATAACAAATAACACACATGAAAGTAGTTCACAGCTATTTTGAATCTCTTCTTCGAATCAATAAGTCGATTTTGATAAAGGTTATAATATTTGAACTCTGCCTTCAAATCACATTTAAAGGTTTAGAAATGGCTTTATATTATAGCCTTTTTATAAAGTTTACTTTTTAATTCGAAAAACAGTTTCAAAATGGTTGTGAACTATGTTCGCTTGTGTTATTTCCTTGTAAGAACCATACATAGTTTCGTATGGGTGAAAACTGACATATAGGGCCTACCTATCAGTACTATAATTCACAAAACACAAAACCCATAGACAGACGACAGTACAATAAACCCACTTAATAGAAAGAAAAAACTAGGCAATGTTTGATGCTCTATGAAGAATAAGTTTTAAACCTATGATAACATTTACTTATATCATAAGATAATAAGTGATAGTTGCATGTGACAATGTTTATAATAGACCTTAATCATGCGTGAGCCATATTGGATCAAGAACAAGGCTCATAACGCAAAAAATCAAAGGTAACATCGTGTCACTGCAGTAAAATCACCACCTTGACGTCTATAGAGCCTCCTTCTCCAATCCTATAAAAAAGTTATTTGCATGCCATGGCTCTAGAATTGTTCTCATATCATACCTTAGTCTATCTATCAGTAATTGCACTATTTCACTACTGCTCTAATATCTTAAACAATCCCACAAGCATTAATTTTCATATATGCAGGTAACAATTTATTTGATGACAAACAGTCCAAAGTGACAGCATCTAGATGTTCAAAAATTTTTTGTTTAGACAGTAACCATAATTCAGATCAAGGGTGAAATCAAAATTTTCCTGTTATGGTGCTAAATGCACACCCATGAGATAAGAAGTTTGCAAGTTTTGTGCTCAAATTTAGTATAGTAGATAGTTTTGATCTCTTTGTCAAGCCACATGAACTGGTGCTTTGCTACAGGCTGAAAATATCAGCTCAGGAGTCATTCTGAAGATCATTGATTTTTTTTTTAGAACTGTTGCTCAATTTCCCCCTATCACAAATTCACCCTTAATTCCCCCTCGTTCCAAATTTCACATTTCAAATATATGTATGAGTTAATCTGAGCGAGTTTTTATCAAGATGATACCTAGATAGATATATATTGAAATAAATTTTAGTAATTGTGAAAGAATAGGAACCAAAAGGTCCATAGGATTCACATGTACATTGAGGCAATAACATTGAAGCTAGCTTTCATACAATTGTGTCCAAACAATATCATTAAATAAAGCTTACTATCTTTTTTTCTGAATAAATCATCACCATCCTAACCTAAATAAATTTGTAGTAATTGTAAAAATGAAATGAATGGAGTTTCATGTCCTACTTTTCTCCACCATTTTAGTAATTGTGAAGGAAACTACAAGCACATTGAGGCAATAACATTGAAGCTAGCTTTCATACAATTGTGTCCAAACAATATGAATAAAAAAAGCTTACAATTTTGTGTACAATCTTTTTTTCTATCAATTTCGACACCGTCCTAACCTAACCTAAGGTTTTAAACCGCAGTTTTTTAAAAAAAATAATCAAAGCATATCATGTAGGAACTTTTTCTTGATAAGAATGACAAAATGGGAGATAGCAAAACCAAAAGTAGAGAACTATAACAGTCTATTTGGTTTCATCATTCCACAAATTGCCTTTTTTTCGCTATTTTCAATCGCAACCATACATGAACTAGTGATCGCTATGGGCCACTTAATGCCTGATGATGATCTGTATTTAAAATAATAGGGTAGATCATAACATATAGATTAAACAGGAATTTCGGGAGAATTGTGACAAACAGGAAACCCACAATGGCTATGACTATGTGACTATAACAAAACCCAAAAGTAGACATTGATGATCTCTATTCAAGATGATAGGGTAGATTTATAAGGAAGTTCTCCAACTGACTGTAGTTCTGTCCATGTATCTGTGTTAGAATGTACAAACAAGGTAACTCCAGTCTCGTAAACGGCTGGTATTTTAACATGAGAAGTTAACTGTGTTCTGTATCCTGGTTTTACTAAGCTTTCCTCTCGTAAAACATTCACAACTTGACCTGGAAAAAATAACAATAATAATAAGTGTTTGACAATCAATAAAACATTGTTTCAGAATCTGTTCCTCCACACCTTTTCAATTGAAATGAAATGCAACATGTGGCACTTACAGCTGGACAAAATAAGATGAGTACACAGGTACTACAGTTATGTAAATAAGTTTAAATAGTTTTACTGCTTTTGTAATTGTAGTTTTGTCCTTTATAGTTTCTTTCAAAATAATGATGATAAGAGAATCCAGAATGTGGTAAAAAATACCTAAAATATTCATGGTACACCATCGATCATCTGATTGGACCAATAATTCTCGTAGATCGGAATTATCCTGGAATCGGCTGACTATATCCTTTCTGTTGACTAATAATACAGAATCACTGGTTAATTGTTCCATTACGATTTTCTCTGACACTCTCTCTTGAGGGTTGGTAAGATACACATCTATAATAATAAACAGTAAACTCAATCAATTAAATGAGGCTAATGAAGACTGAGTGACTGACTATTTCACACTTCACATTGAACAAGGGAAACCAAACAATTATTTGATTGTAGACCTTATTCATGCATCAGCCATATTGGATCAAGACCGAGGCTCATAATGCAAACAAACATGGTGTCATTGCAGTAAAATCACCACTGTGGCGGCTTTAACGCCTTTTTCTCCAATCTCAAAAACTAATAATAATTAGTTCAATTTGATATTGATTTAGCTACTTAATGATACTTTCAGATGAAGTTTACCATCACAAATTGAGAAAGGGCAGTTTTCAGCTTCTTTCTGGCTGTTGCTTTGTGACATCACATAGGCTGTTTCTTCATATATCCCCTCACCATATTATCAATGGATGACGTAATTTGTGTTATATGAGTCTCAGTTTCAGTGTCACAAGAACGAGAGGTCTATTGACCTGCCTTTTTCCATTTACAAATGTTACAGATCTTTAAGTACAAAATGTGTCACTGTGCCTGTGCCTCCGAGAGTTGACCCAGTGTTGGCTTTCATCCCTTGATACAAAAAAGAACTGAAATGAAACTTACCCTTTGAGCTGACTCCATAGATCATCTGATGATGCCAGGCGTCAGGTATCTGTTGATCTGCTGGCACTGCTAACTGTAAGTTTAACGTAGCTAATGGTACAGCACCTACAACATTCATTCAGATCAAATATATTTTTATGTCAAACTGATAAATAGAAAAAGAAACATGCATATTTTGGAGGGAGTGGAAAAAATGAGAGTAAGATAGCTAACAGTACAGCTGTCTCAAGATTCATTAAGATAAAAGATATTCTACTGCTGAAACAGTAAAGAAATAGAAAACATCTAACTTTTACATGAATAAGAACTTAGGAGGATCCTTTGGAAGAAATGAAGCACCTCCAGGTAAAATACTAAAATGACATCTATTATTTGCATAAATAAAACTTGAGGTCCTGAACCAGCCTGTGGTTCTACAAGAATACTAAGGTTTTATCTCATAAATCCTTTATACCAAGTCCTTGTTCTCTTGATAATTATCATTGACTGATTGAACACATGCTACTTTGAAGCTACATACATATCTCCTTCCCGTTTTGGTTTTGCTTTATCTTATTTTATCATATTTATAATTATCATACATAATCAAACTTTTATCACAAAGTCCCAGACAAATAAATTTTCTTTACCTTTTTTCATCCAGTATCCTAACCATTTGACTAAATGAACTTCTCTTGGTGGCCAGAATTTAAAAAATCTACCCTTTAATTTGCCATGAGTGAGAGTTTCTACACCTTGTAGTAGGTCACTAGCTTCTGTTCCTACATGATAAAAATATTGACAAAATAATATTAGAATTCATGACAATTTTCAGAATAAGAATGACTTTCAACTGATTGTTCCTCAGAGAGATCAATTCAGTGTATAATTTGTGGTTTTGTGGTTTAATAAGACAAATTGTCTAAAATACCAACCAATGTAAAGGTGTCTGATATATTAAACACGATACTAAATTTCTATGTCAAATCACACCAAAAATCTAATTTGTACAAGATATTGTTGATTTAATCAAACACACTAAATTTCATGAAATTTGGACATAAACTGCCAACAAATATTGATGCATTTTTATTAAGTCAAAAGCAATAACTCAAATTCCATTCATTGAAAAATCGTCAAATTCAAACTTGACCAAGATCTCATTGTAATAGATGATCACACCAGATTTCATTAAAATCAGATGAAAACTGTAGTCTCTATAGTGTTCACAACTATAGTGTATAAAACTATAAAATTTCTTCTTGTAATATAGAAATAAGAAATAAACCAACCTGCCACAGCTCTAGAGAATAGATAGAGAGGAATAGGAGCTTCTTCCATTCTTAACTTGGCTCTGATCACTCTACTGACTTCATCCTTATCAACTTTACTATCTAACGCTTTCTACAAAATATATAAACAACTACATTATCATTAGATTCAAAAACATAACACAACTTTACTATCTAACGCTTTCTACAAAATATATAAACAACTACATTATCATTAGATTCAATAACATAACACAACTTAACTGTCTAACACTATCTACCAAATATATAAAATATACACATAAACCCTTTAATTCATGAGTAAATATTCAAATATAAGAAACAGAATGTTATTTTATGTCCCCATTTTCAGCTCCAGATTGGACTAATTAAGATGGACAAAGCCTTGCAACATGTAACAAGGGAAGTTTTGTCACAATCTGACAGCAATAGATGTCCAGGCTTCTTGTGTATCCTGTACTGTACACTGCACTGGACAATATACATGGCTTATCACACCTTTTATTCAGGTATGTCAATTATTTCTGTTATACTTACTAAAACATTAATAACAGCTGTTGGTCCACAAGCTGAAGTACCTATCTGTTGAACCTGCTGGATATTAGCTTCGTATTCACTCCATATCATGACCTTCTCAGCTAAACATCCTGTCAACTTACTAGGTCGTAATCTACACGATTTCTTCTAAAAGATACACATCAGTTGTTAGAAAGGAACATAAAAAATAAAATACCTCACATGACATTCGGCAATTATAAAGTGGAAGCTACCTGATATTTGACAGATTCCATTGTGTAAGCTTATTCTGTGGCATTTAAAGGGCCATGGTTTGCCATTTTCGGGGGTTTATTTGGGTCTTGAATATAAGTAAATAGTCTTCATTCAAAAATACCTCAAACTAGAAATTTCACTTTCTATTCCTATATATCTGTTTTATGTTGAGTATAAAGAAAAGAGGAGTAATCGCAGATAATTCTGGACACACATGGATTTAAAGCTCAAACTTCAACAGTGAGCTGTCAGTAATATTACTGATTAGTTTAGCTAAAAAATTTGGTCACACGGATGGCAAACCTGTCCCTTTAACAACGATCAAGTCAAGTGATAATGCAAACTTGAGTCAAGTCCGTAGTTTTAGATCCATTTTTTGGGTTATAAACACTGACAATAACTTATGCATTTAATGCTAAATGGGGACTATCTGTTGACATTGTATCATAATTTTGAATCCATGTTGTTAGTCTTCAGCAATAAAATGTGAGTGAATGCTTACTGATAACTGTTTATAACCATCGTGTTTCAGGTCTGAGTCTAGGTTGTTTCGATAAATATCTGTACTACTACCACCACTAGCTCCTGTTTTACTGGCACCTGTATCCTCGTTATCAACACATTCTTCAAAATCTTCATACAGTGGTTCTGATACACCACATCTACAACACACAATAAGAATTTAAGTTTAGAAACAATAGAGCTTTGATGGTAAAAAGCCTGAATCTCATTAGAGCGAAACATCTGTCTCTATTCCAGCCCCTGATAGCTGACAACTGACAAATATCCATCAGAGGCTGGAATAGAGGCAGATGTTTTGGACTAGAATCTCATGTATAAGCTGTACAATTATCCTTGTAAAATTAGAGTCAAAGGAATATGGTAAATTAATATGTAAAACAATTATTTAACATGAATTACACTGTTATAAAGGCAGAATACCATATATCATTTTTAAAATCAAATCAAACTAATTTCTATTTTACGAAGTGATTTGGGACTAATTTTGCATTCCATCAGATATTTGTGCTAATTTACAACTATATGAAGAACCAATTTAGTTAGCTAGAAATAGAATACACACAGCTTGAATAAGACAAAATGGTAGGACAAATGGTATGCCATTCATCATGAGTTCAGTGGGGTTATATGAAAAATATTGCAAGGAAATCGCAAGAAAATCATGAAATATTGAGAATTTAAAGGGGAAGGGGGGGAAATGTAATCGATCAAGGACCCTGAAAGGGATAATAGAAAAGAAAAAGGTTAAAAACCGCTGCTTTACTACCACTATATCATTGATGAATAATCATTTTAAACTTACTCTGAAGTAGAAGGAGTATGTTCACAATTAGCATGTAGAAATAATCGTCGTGGCCTATGAGAGGAAGACTGGTCTGTACTGGACATTGAAACACACTGTAAATTAACAGATTGATCACATGATCTGCCATTACAGCTTCCGTGAGTCTGTGCCGCCTGGCTTCCACACGATTGTCTACTTCCTAACACAGGGAATTTATTAAAAATTTTCTGTTTTTTATTGCTTTCATCACTTTGAAAGTTTGAGTTTCTACTACCGATAGAACTAAGGTCATTTACTCGATTCCAACGGGAGGAATGAGAAACACATGAACTATTCGTACCAAGACAGTGGCACACTGGAAATTCCGCGTTCGATACTTTCTCCCATGAAGACGAACCACCACTTGCATTCATTCCATGTTCATCATTAAGACATGTGCGATTAAAATGCCCCACCGCTCCATGCGAAAAACCAGCTACAGTATCACTAGAGTACAATTCTGCTAAATTTATCAAATGTAAATCTCGGGAAATATCTTCTGAATTGTCGCCATTTTCACTCTGGCTACTATTATCACAGTCATCATGACTTAACAGATGTAATTTATCCACTGGATATAAACTATCGTCTTTATTCAAGTCAATGTTACTCCCACAATTTACACTTATTAGATTATTTTCAGGGCCTGGTGATGAATTCTCGCTCGACACTGACAAACATCGCGAATTCCTAGCACCAGATAAATCATTACAAAAATCTGATGTTATTTCTTCAAACTGTTCCCTGGAAGCTTCCTCGTCACTTCCGGAAAACGATTCTGAAGAATTCCGACCACTTGCTTTCGACGGAAGATCAGTGTCAATAAAGTCATCTTCTAAATTGTCTGTGACTGGGGGAATTCCGTTGCGCGAGTTTAAAGGATAATTAGATACAGACTCAGCTGAAGCTCCAGACGTCTCTAGGTTATGTCGGGAATAAACGTTCACACATTTTGGAAAATGGTCGTATTTATTAACACAATTTGGAAAGTGGTCATATTTACTGGCTTTTCTAAACAAATTGGATGATTCACCAACTTCCAGATTTTGGGAATAAGTCAATAACAAATCTGGTGATTCTAGTTCATCAAATTCATTATCATTATCAATATCAACGTTATCTATTTCATACATTTCCTCAAACTCTGGAAGTTGAAGTCTGTCAAAATCACAAACAGCACCTTCATCTATCATCTCTGATAAACTACTCTCAGAAACATCACGTGACATTCGTCCATTTCGTTCTAACCTGTCCTCAGAACCAGACACATTCAAATTTTCTACAGAGACACAATTTCTTTCCACTCCATTTTCAATGTCTGGATTCAAGGCTAAATTAGGATTCACAAATCCATGAATTCCACCTCCATTAACATCATTCCACCCAAAATTAACATCCGAATCATTGTCTATATTTGGATTCGGATACGGTGAATCGTCCTTCAATTCCTCAGGATGACCACAGAAAATATCACAGCAAGCAGAATTATGACGTTTTGTTTTCTTTCCTTTTTTCCCGATATTTGATTTGAAAGTTTCTCCATTTGTCGTCCCATTTACAACTTTCAATTTCTTTAAGTTTTTTAACAATGAAGATTTAGGAACAGCACCTTGGTCGTTTTTACCATTATGTCCTAAATGTAGACCATTCTGATTTGGATTGAATACAAATTCGTCTACTTCACCATTTTCGTCAGTAATCTGGTTTAATATCGGAGTTTCCGAACATCGTGGGCTGGTATGAGAGGTGCTGGGATCATCATAACCATTGACATGCTCTAATTCTGTGCCTTGTTGAAGAAGTGATAAAGACTGGCTGCCACTGTTTGAAACTTTTTTATTCTTCTTATCCCATTTCTCTGAAGTCTGCTTGTTAGCCATTATCCTGAAATGCAAATGAAAACTTTTGAGACTGGTGCAAGACAAAATCAAATCAGTTCTTTGACTGACCAAATTAAAATGCGGATAAAATTTCAAATTTAATATTTTACTACTTTAGTTGAATCATTCTCAACTTCCTATATTCTATAACCATAAGATGCAATTATTACCTATTTTCTCTTGTCAAAATCAGTAGCCTTATCAAGTCATTAGCCACACTTGAAAATAGCATTCCCTGGGAAATGCAAGGTAGGCCTTATCTACCAGTCTAGATCTAAATCAATTAATGTCTGGTCTTAGCCCTTACATGTTTTGCAAATTGTAGGCTCAGTTACTTACTGGATATTACAGACCAAATTGCAGTGTGTGACTCAGACTGTGTATTGGTTTTGCTGTCCGACTAGTCTCGTGTAGACTAGGCAATGGGCTAGTACACTTTAAGCTTTGGGATCAGATTGAAGGCTCTCAGTTCAATTTTCACTACTTCTATGTAACTTATGAAACCATTACAAATGTATTTGTCTTTTATAATTAATATTTTGTGGACCAAATCAAATCATCAAAATAAAACTGAAAAGGTGAGAGTGACCTGACCAACCTAAATTTACAGAATCTCAGAAACACAGAAATCAACCATGCAGGGCCTTTGCAGCATCATTATGGATTTCATTCGCAAACTGACACCGATAGCGGCTTGACATTCACTGATTTATAACAAAAATATAATTTGTTTTCTTTTTTCTATTCCTAGAAGTTATCCATCTTGGAAATTGTATCCCACAATGCCATTTGATTGGCTGCTTAAAAATTCACACGATTTATAGAATAACACGGATATTTAAAATGTGTATTTTTTATCTTTAAAATATGATGATTTCAAAAACAATATGTCCTAAAAAGAAACAAATTTTAAATTGTTTTGAATGAATTGATTCTTGACAATTCGTTTCAGAATTTACAATTAAGAATTTTAGTACTTCCGGCTAATTAGCCAATGAAATATAAGAAATTTTATTATTGATGAGCAATGGAAGTTCTTGTAGAGAATTTCAGGTTATATTTACAATTTTTTCTACCAAACGTACTTTTCACTTCATCACATAGCGTTAGATCGTTGTCAGATGGCTGACTTACCTAATTTGTCATGAAAAATTATCTTTTCATAGGAAGTTTGGTCCGAAAAACCTATAACCCAAACAAGTTCAAACATAAAATATAATATAGCAGTTTTTATCATCCATTCTGAACCCAACTGACTCAAATCTCAAAATTGGAACATTGACTAAATTTGATCCTGACAGACAGTAGTAAACCCTTGAGCACCAACCATAAGACACCCATTCTGTCCAATTTATCAGCCGGTATCTGGCAGTTGTGCTAGTAAACCGTCGCCAATTTAAGTCGGCTAATATTTGCCAGTTTGTAATCATCACTTAAGTCGGTAGGCCTTAACCCAAATGAGCTGTGTACTGGTCAATTTTGAGTTAACTATTCAGTAGTCATAGTGATTCAGATTCATTTGCTTAACTGGTTTGGGTTAGCACATAGAGAGATCGGTAACGAAATGTGCACAGCACTGCTGTAGTGATGCTCTCCAAGTTTTAATGTCTCGTCTTGTGGCCATACGGGGAAATGAGGCAAGGATAAATGGAAGGAGAACAAACTGGCAGCACTGCTGCATTCTTTTGCTTGGACTTGACGATTCAAACTGTTTTATCTTGATTGGAATTTAATGTTACTTCACTAGGTTACACACAGATGCAACGATGCATTACTAAAAGCTCTCCTTGCTTTTTTCAAACCCTTGAATCAGTTAGTGGTAAAAATAATTCATTAGAAAGCACAAGATAATATGTAGTGTGCTTGTTTTTAGAAAATGCTAAAAAGATTGCCTATTTCTGCCTCAACAACATTAGCTTGGCAGCCTGAACTAAGTTTAATGCATACTTTGTTGTCTACTGAAGAAATATATGAAAATTAGCAGGTTTACTATCATAGGCCTTGTCTTGAATTCAAGTTGATGGTTACTTAATTTTTTATGTGTATTGGGTACACTGATAGCATCAATTTGCACTATTCTAATTAACAATCAGACGTCTGTGGTTCTTGCAATTCTACTAAAGATGTCACTTATCGCGAAGATCCTTATGTGATACAAGCACTAACACTGTTCCTATATAACGCTGTGCCTATGTGCCTAAAGTACTGTGTCTAACTGATTGTGCTTAAAATATTTGTACCAAAATGACAGTGAATCTCCAAATCATGTGATAATGAATGAATAAGCTTATGTTTCAAAGGACAATACTATGCATAGAGCTGTCTAGAATATGACTGATTCTACTCTCTGATTTTCTTTAATGTATGAATTTGAAAATCCGTTATACCATTTTATTGATGATAAAATTTTTATTTCAGATAGAAGGTATGAGTAAATATGGTGACATAGAAAATATAGACTTAGGTATATATTTAGAATAACCTGACTGATGACAATGAAATATAAAAATAGAATAAAATAAACTGAAGCACAGTAAAATGGTGAAAATGGGTTGGCACAAATTAACATGTGCAGTTTTAGTCCTGCTGACCTGCCTTGTTACAGAGAGTCTACAAACACAAGCTGAGAAGAAAACCCTGCATTTAGATAAGTGTAATACCACTGGAGCAGGTTATGAAATTAAAATGGAATTTGCTACCCAAAGAATCAACAACGGTAAGACCTTGCCCTCTATTTAGGCAAAGTTCAAATCTAATTGAAATATCTCTTAAGACTAGATTGACACAATGTAAGAATTACAAAAAAAGGTTCTACGTAACAGTCAAAAAGGATGAACTTTATTAAAGTAACTGTTATCCTTAATCCTCTATCTGATAAATTACTTATCATTTACGGACTTTTCTATTACACAAGATATGTAGTTTAAGATATTTAAAGTTTAATGGTTTGAATTTTATTTTTCAGAATTTATCGTATCATTCAATGGTTATTTCAAGTCTCCAGCAAGAAAGAGATTTATTACGGCAGCTCTCCATGATGCAACCTTCTCCTGGACTATAATAGAGAGAAACAACCCAGCTAAGGAGTTCCCCAGTGATTTTGATATATTAAAGGTAGGAAAGTGATAAGTTTTATTTCTGAGAAACAATTTTGTGACTGAAGTCATGGCAAAATAATCTATTTACAATGTGATCTAGTTCAGTCTGAACTTTTAAGCTGTTGTTGGCTTCAGAATTTATTTGATTTCATTGAGATTCATGAATTCAGATTCAGATCAGATGACCAGGCATCTTCACTATGGTCTTAATCTTATACCTTGACTGCCCACTTTTTGTTTCACAGAAGTTTGTGAATGCAGCAATTTGATTGAATGGTACGCTAGAGAATATAGCCAATCAGAGTCCTTGACAGAAAGACTGTATAAAATAATTCGGCAATAAATCGGGGGCTTTGACTGGCTGTATTCGCTGACCATGAAACAAGAAATTTGGTCGTTGTAGTCAAGGTATAAGATGAAGATGTAATACCTTGACCGATGTGAAGATGGGAGTTCAGGATCAAACTGGGTCATCCCATGAGATAAAGATAATGACTTAGTTGAGCCCAAATATCATAAATATTTTTTGGAGTAAAGTGGAATTTTTCACTGAATTGGTTAATCATAAGACCTACTCCAATCTTAGCTATGCTAAGTGAAGCTAAAAATTGTTTTTTACTCTAATTTGAAATTCTGTTGATTTTGAATATTGATCCACAGTTCAAGGGTAATAGTAAGAATGGTGTTGAAGCTTTGAAAGATCATCCTCTAGTCAAACGTGTTACTCCTCACAAGATGGTGACCAGAACTCTTAAATATATTAAAGGTAAGTTTTAAAACTTCTTAAAATTATGTCCAGAATTGATGCGCTTTTGATTATTAGAATCATTTCATTTCTAGATCATTAATTTTTTGCTTGTACGTACTTTGACTTCTGGATTGAAATTTGGCAAAAGAAAACATTTTAGTTGGACAAATGAAAGACACAAAGTTTAAGACGGAGTTTTCGCATCTAATTTCCATTTTCAAATGGGTGCCTGATTCAAAAATGGGTTTGAAATGGGGTTCTATTTTCTTACATTCGTTCGATCATTCGTTCGTTCATTCATTCATTCATTCATTCATTCATTCATTCATTCATTCATTCATTCATTCATTCATTCATTCATTCATTCATCCATTCCATTCCATTCCATTTCATTTCATTTCATTCATTCATTCATTCTATTACAGAAGAAGAGACAATGGAAGTAGAGGAAGAAGAAGAAATGGGACCAGAAATACCCTGTAATGAAACAGATAAAGATTGGGATCTGACATTTCATTCTTCAAGACCATTAAATAGAAAGAGTCTATCACTGGTAAGCTTTTAATTTCAGACTGGTGAACTAGTCTGTGTTGGATATTTTAACCTCAAAATGAAATGAAAATTAGGTTTTTGTCCTTAACTGTTACTTCTTTTTAGAGATCACTAGTGACTAGTGGCTAGGCAAAACTCAATCATACGGGTACTGCAGATTGAATTAAAAAGTCTGTAGGTAAATCTCTGAAATTTACATCTGGTATGTCTATAAGTCAACAACCATGTATTATGTTAATGAATGTTCAGTATATCAATGGATATAGATAGCATGTGTACATGACCATATTATGATCTATGTATGTCATTGTTTAACTCCCAAGGAGTAAGAGCATACATCTTGATAATGTAAAAATACAAACTATAATCTTATGTCAAAGTAGATATAAGTACAACAGCGAAACATTCTCTGAAAGGTAACCCTGGGGACTTATTCTCAAATACTTAGATTATGATGATTTTAATTTACAAGTAATCTGATTGGTCAATTACTAAAATTGATTTTAAATTCAATTTTTTTTATCCAATCATATTACTTTATTTCTTAAAATTTGTTAAGTTTTCAAGAATGAGGCCTCTAGGTTTAGGGGATGTCTGTTGTTTATACAAGTTTTTAAACAGACTATCTAATATATATGACTTGTTTTTTAGGGTACAGCATATTGGCACTCTCCCAACAGACATAGAACTCGACATTTGATGAAAGCAGTTCCAAAACAGGTAAGCAGTTTTTATGTGGTTTTTATCATTTATATTTTTCAGAAAAAAGATAAGCTATAGCCCAGTCTTTTCAGGATTTTTTATAAAGTTAATTTATAATCATATTTAGACCTTATATTTATAAAGATTTTAGACATTTTTTGACCAAATTAGACCTTTTATAGCTTAAACTTTGTTTTATCTTATTTTCTAGATTGTATCATCTCTTCAAGCTGAAATTTTATGGAATCTAGGATTTACAGGTATTTTGTATAATCTATATTTTTATGAAAATAAGGGAATGAAATTTGATAATCGATAAGTAATTTATTATATTATTGCGAAATGAAATTTGAATAGTCAATGTTAAATAATGAATATCCCCATATTTGTTATATAGTGCATCTAGTTTGATATTTGTCTTTGGTTCCAGGTGCTGGAGTAAAGGTGGCCATTTTTGATACTGGACTGGCCGCAGATCATCCTCATTTTAAAAAGGGAAGAATAAAAGATAGATCCAATTGGACGAATGAAAAAACACTGGATGATGGTCAGTATTAACTATGTATAATAATTAGTATTGCCAAATGAATAATATTACCCGTATTATCTCTAGATGCCATGATGCCGTGAGCCAGTTGTAGAGAGTATCAGAGTGTAACGGCTTGTCAAAACACCATAATTGATTATTTAATTGGCATGGAGCCTCAAAATTAAAATGTTTTTTATATGTAAAAGTATAGATCTGAAATATAAACAAAAAGTAAAGGAATTTTCAACATTGCCGTCGTAAATTAGCACTTCTTGATGCATAGCATTGTCCCTCTTCATCAGCCTAATTAGTTACAGAAACCATTTCATTTTGTTTGTTCATTATTTTTTATTGTGTCAGTTCCATTTATTACTAAGGTCTAGTTATTTATTACAGGGGCCTTATTCTCAAATACTGATATTGATTTTAGTATTCCAGTCATCTCATTGGTCAATCATTAAAATCGATTTTGAATTCAATTTTTCTATCCAATCATATAACTTTATTTTTTAGAATCTGGATTTTATCTTTTCGAGATCAGATTAGAATCACTTTACATTAATATTATTGTTATGTTTCAGGGTTAGGTCATGGTACGTTTGTAACTGGAGTTATCAGTAGTTCAAGTGAATGTCTAGGTTTTGCTCCTGATGCTGATATCTATGTTTTTAGAGTTTTCACCAATAATCAGGTACATTAACTCTCGTATACCACCTCAATAAATTAACTATTGACTGAAGGTTTTGAAAAGATTTTTACTACATTTTTTATGTGTATCAGGGATAGCATAAATTTGCCCCATTCCCATTGTCAATCAGACATCTGTGGTTTCTGCAATTTGACGAGAACTCTGTCTTCGATAATGTCACTAATGGCAAAATATGCCCTTCACATAAGGCTCTTTGTGATTAGTGACGTCATCAAACACTCAGTTTTAATGGAATTGCAGGAACCACAGATGTCTGATTAAAAATTGGAATGGTGTAAATTTATGCTATCAGTGTTCATGATGCACATACAGAATTTAGAAAACCATTTTACAATCCCTTTAAATTTAAGAGTTCTTTAGGCACTGAACGGATTTCTCCTTTTAATTATTGTAATTAAGAAACAATATGCGCATATAGAATGAGGATGATTATTCTTTTTAACTAACTCCCTGAAAAAATAATCTGGTTGATATGATATTTTTTTCAGTCATTACTTAAAAATGTAAAAGGTTTTTTGAAAACAAACCATAGTTAATGCTATTCCATCATGCATACAAAAACTTTTTATGCACAAAATAAAATTTTCTCTTCCTCCTCATGATTTAGATAATTATATATGCGCATGATAATCATGATTAGTTTAAAAATAAATTAATTTTACAGGTATCCTATACATCATGGTTTCTAGATGCTTTTAATTATGCTATTCTGAAGAAGATTAATGTGTTGAATTTGAGTATAGGTGGACCTGATTTTATGGACCACCCCTTTGTTGATAAGGTAAGTCAACTGAACTGTTTGGTTACATTTATTGTGTATAGCAGGATTTTCCAACTTTTTTTCTTTCTATTACTTCTTTGAGAATTCTTGATCTATGGCATTGTCTCCTGCAACAAAAATAAAATGGGAATATTGTTATGGAATATGTAAAAGAATTATTATTCTATGGAACGATTTGAGTGCAAAAGGAAGGGGGGGCGTGGTTTTGGTGTCGGGACCAGCGATAGGTCCTTCGAAATAAGAGCCCCAGCTTTATGGAATTCACTAGCAATAGCTGTCAGAAAATGTTATAAACTAGACTCTTTTAAACAGAATCGTAAAACCCATCTTTTTAGACAAGCTTTTAATTGATTTTTTTGTGGTATAGTGCAATATTTTATGTTTTATATAATATTTATATTTTCTAATTTTTGTATCAAGCGAAATTGATCAATTGTTTTACTTTGTTTTACCGTGGATATTTGCGCTATATAAATAAAGTATTATTATTATTTATTATTAATATTATTGTATATTAAAGGTGTGGGAATTAACAGCTAATAAAGTTATTATGGTATCAGCTATTGGTAATGATGGACCACTCTATGGGTAGGTTTTATTTATTTTTTTTATTTAACCATATTAGTATGTTGAGTTCTGCACATTCCTGATTTATGGAATTAACAGAATGTTCAATGGAATATAGAGTTCAGAATGAGTGCTATGTGTGCTGAAAAAATATTAGGTGCAGACAGAATTCAAAATAGGGGAGAAGGAAATAGATTAGAAAATTTTGAATGTGACATATCCACTTACATTCTGTTAGATTAGGGGGGCACAATTGGAACAGACGGAACCTGTTCAGAACTCACCAGCCACCTAATAAATGAAAATAAAATGAATGGAGTTTTACATCCCACTTCAGGCGCCTAAAAAGACGCACAAAAAAGTAGATATATGACACAGGTCACAACAAATTTACAATTAGTGTTTTAGGAACCTCTCACCGTCTTTTTTTGTAATCCATAAACATATTCAAGTAACTGGTGTTAAAAGGGACAGTATGCAATAAGGAGTTTATTTTACTTCAATCTGCACAGTAGATTTCTAACATCTTCCAAAAATCATAAGGAACTTTATGTAAAGTTTTTGAATAGTTTTGGTGTTAAAGAATTAACGGCTAGATAATATTAGTTAAATCTTTCTCTAGATCTTGGAGTATAGGTTTTTCACAAATTTGAGTAAATGGAATGCCTCTTTAAAATACAAAAGACACATTAATTCTTTATAAAGACTTGTCATCATTGTCCTCTTCTTCATCATCAATGATTAAATATTATTTTATGTTAAAAAGAAATATCTTCATATATTTTAGGACATTAAATAACCCAGCAGATCAGATGGATGTTATAGGGGTTGGTGGTATAAACTTTGAGAATCAGATTGCTAGGTTCTCTTCTCGTGGTATGACTACTTGGGTATGTAGTAATGTTTTATATTAATATTTACATTAGCTATTGTTTTGTCCAAACCTTTCAAATAATTTATAACCTTGGTAATGGCTTTCTCCATCTTTTATTTGGAATGGAAAGGACTACTTGTTTTACTCCGTCTCAAACCATTTCTCCATTATAATTTGACTATTATAGGAACTACCTGCTGGTTACGGTCGTGTTAAACCAGATATTGTAACATACGGTTCTGCAGTTAGAGGATCAGCTTTAAAGTAAGAATTAAAATTGATTAATTACTGGAATATAGTATAGTTGTCAGAAATATCTGTCTTGTATTACCAGTCAATAAAACTGTGATTTAGCTATCTGTATTGCTTTCAGAATGAAATATAAAATCCTGTGGTTTGTCTATGTGATAGATTAAAGCAAATCACTTTAAGAGATTTGAGTCTTGAATATATGTAAATAGTAGAAATACTAGAAATGTACGAAAATCACATAATACCTTTGAAAATATTTCAATACTAGGATTTTTTTTGTTTTCCTATTTCTTTGGATGTCTTTTCTATATGGCAGTGTCTCAAGAAAAGACGGATGACTTATCTTTAAACATGGATGATTCTGGACACACATGGATTTTAAGGCTCAAATTTCGCCAGTGAGCTGTGGACACTATTACTGATTAGCTTAGTAAAAAATATTCAGTTTCTATGAGAGAATGATTTGGTCAACAAAAATGTCGCATCTGTCTCTTTTAGTTATTAGCTAGATAATGTATATTATTATGTATTTTTAGTGGAGGATGTAGACATCTATCTGGTACTAGTGTCGCTTCACCAGTTGTAGCAGGGGTGGTATCTCTTCTAGCAAGGTAAGTTCATTAAATGTGGAGTTCAATCTGGAAAGTTCTGGCCTGTTATCAGAGTGTGCTCGTGAAAGTTCTGGCTTGTTATCAGAGTTCACTCTGGAAAGTTCTGGCTTGTTATCAGAGTTCACTCTGGAAAGTTCTGGCCTGTTATCAGAGTTCACTCTGGAAAGTTCTGGCTTGTTGTCAGAGTTTACTCGTGAAAGTTCTGGCTTGTTATCAGAGTTCACTCTGGAAAGTTCTGGCTTGTTATCAGAGTTTACTCGTGAAAGTTCTGGCTTGTTATCAGAGTTCACTCTGGAAAGTTCTGGCTTGTTATCAGAGTTTACTCGTGAAAGTTCTGGCTTGTTATCAGAGTTCACTCTGGAAAGTTCTGGCTTGTTATCGGAGTTCACTCTGGAAAGTTCTGGCTTGTTATCAGAGTTCACTCTGGAAAGTTCTGGCTTGTTATCAGAGTTTACTCGTGAAAGTTCTGGCTTGTTATCAGAGTTCACTCTGGAAAGTTCTGACTTATCAGAGTTTGCTCTGGTTAGTTCTGGCTTGAATGATATTCAAATAAAGAGCACTTGTCAAGCAGATGAAATGCAAATCCAAATAGAACTTAAGCCAAACTTAAATTTGTCGTGATAAATTGCTACCCTGCTTCTAGATGTCACTGTCAGTCAGTAAGGGAAATAACTCAGTGTCCCTAAATACACATCAACATGCTGTTGTCTGTATGCATTCTTAGTCACTACCGTAAAAGTCATCATTGAGGGAGTATTGATTGTGTGCCTAAACACTAATGTAGACAGTATTGATGGTGTGCCTAAACACCACATTGCGATCAACAAACTCTTTTAACTCCCTATGAAATTACTATTTTGCAGTGCTGTGATAGACCGTGCTGACATTTTGAATCCAGCCAGTATGAAGCAGGCATTGATGGCGTCAGCTCGTAGACTGTCTGATGTGAATATGTTCGAACAAGGATTTGGTAGACTTGATTTACAGGGAGCTTATCGTCAGTTGAAAACTTACAAACCTCAAGCCAGGTAGAAATCTTTATTGTGCTATTCAGGGATTTCCAGGATCATCTTAAAGAGCACCATTTGTACCATTTTAGCTAGCATTATTATTTTGAAACTGTCTCTCACCTTGACTTTCTTACTATTTATAGATCTTAAGATCTTACAGAATATTCTGTAATATTTTTCAGTTTAACTAATAGATCTAACATAATGTTCTGTTAGAATTATTAAAACAACACCTACAAAAAAAAAGATGTTGTTACTTAGAGTTTCGATATTTGAACAACTGACAACCTGAATTCCTACCGATCTGTTGAAGTTGAAGTTATTTTGTTATGTTTTTCAGTTTAAGTCCCAACTATATAGATCTGACAGAATGTCCCTACATGTGGCCGTACTGTACACAACCTATTTATTATGGTGCCATGCCTGTTATAGTCAATGTAAGTATATTCTATAGATTATTGTTGTTGTTTGATATCTAGGCCAATTGAAAATAATTTCCTAAGGCTTATCATATCATGGTATTTTTCTCTTGATAATGCTGGCTGAGTTAAAGGGATTGTAAACAGATTTTCTAAGATTTGTGTATCGGGGACACTACTAGCATCAATTTGCACCATTCCAATGTTCATTCAGACGTCTATGATTCATGGAATTCCACTAAAATTAAGTGATTGATGATGTCATTAATGCGAAATTTGCTTTATCACATAAGGCCCTTCACGATTAATGACGTCATCAAACACTTAGTTTTAATGTAACTGCAGGAACCACAGACGTTTGATTGGATATTAGAATGGTGCAAATTAATACAATCAGTGTCCCAGATACACAAATTTAGAAAATCTCTTGACAATCACTTTAATAAATATAAGAAAGTATATCCATATCTTTTTTTCACAAATTTTACAGGAATTATACGTTAATTTGATTTAAAGGTAGTAATTTAAAGATTGATTTGAATTATTGATCAATCAGATTTAAAGTTTTTTAGAAACTGAGTCTTGGATAAGATTAATTTCTTATTTTCAGGTTACTATATTGAATGGAATGGGTGTGTCTGGAACCATAGTGGACAAGGTAGGGACCAAATGATATTTTAAACTACATTTATCAATTGTATTATAAATGAAATGGAGTGGTGTTTAATGTTCAACTTTCTGCTCAAAATCAGGAAATCTTGTCAGGAGAGTGTATATTTCCTTTCTCTTTGAACTGATGAAATGGAATGGTGTATTATGTCTGACTTTTCTTCTCCAGTTTGGACTAAGGCAGAAAGGAATTTTGCCAGGACAGTGGCTTTTTTAACTAAACGAAACTGGGTAATATTTAGCTAGACATGTGGTGTCTGTTTTCTAAACAAATTCCCGCCATTATTATTGAACTTCCAATAAATTCTGAGGTAATGTCAAAGCTGGACTTCCTAAAAAAGGAAACCAGACTCAAAGAATGATTGATAAAGCTGCTCTAGCTTTAGTCGTCTGAACTCGCTAAGAGACAGCCTCTTGTTGCTGATGCAGCATATATATGTATATTTCATCTCATTTCAGCCCAAATGGGAGCCATACACTCCACAAAATGGAAGAAACATAGAAGTGTCCTTCTCCTACAGCCCAGTTTTATGGCCCTGGTCAGGATATCTGGCTGTTTCAATATCAGTTACTAAGTCTGCTGCATCATGGGAAGGCATTGCTCAAGGGCAGGTCACTCTCACCGTAGAATCTCCTTCAGAGGTAAGTCATAAATCATACAGCTGGTAGTTTGAGATTTAAAGAAAAGGGGGCCGTGGAGATACTAAGGGATGTAAGGATATAATATATGTACGCTATATTTGGAGTGTGATACTATACGCTGTATGTGATGGTATCAGTCGGATTAGATAAAGATTTCATATGTGTACACTCTTTAAACAAAAATCACATGAGGAAAGGCAAGGACGAAGATAATGACGAAAGCTGTCCTAGAGAAATAAAGATCTTGAAGTCTGGTGTCAGAATTGTCCACTTGAGAAATCTCTGATTGATTTTCAAACTCTGCTATCACCTTGTATTTTTCTCTACAGGAGGAAGAGGGTGAAACCAAGAAATCAACTGTGACTTTAGAAATTAAAGTGAAGATCATACCAACTCCTCCACGCAGGTAGGTTATATATTCCGTCTTTTGGGAATAAAGCACAGACTAAGGTGAATGTGCTTATGAGAGTAGTGTTCTTGGTTTGATTGATTGCAATGTAATGACTCTCCCATCTGACAGACCCCTGTCAATCTGGTTTATTAGTCATTTATACTATTTTCCGTATTTGAAATGATCCTGCACACCGCAAAGGTTTTTTTATTCCATCTTCTCTTATGTAATAGAAAACTTCTCTAATATATAACTTTGTTATTATGATTAATTCTGTTATTTTAAAGTATTAGGATATTGTGTCAGACCCCTGTCAATCTGGTTTATTATTAATTTATACTATTTTCTACGATTTATTGATTAAGACCGTAAATGAATTGATCATGCAAGCTGCAAAGGTTTTTTATTCCATCTTCTCTTGATAGAAAACTTCTCTAATATAAAGATAACTTCGTTATTGTGATTATAATTATTATTTTACAGTAAAAGGATATTATGGGATCAGTATCATAATTTAAGATATCCTGCTGGTTATTTTCCTAGAGATAATTTACGTATGAAAAATGACCCTTTAGACTGGTAAGTTACCTTGGTTACATTATGTGAGACCAATGCTGATTGCTTGCCATAATGCAGCTGTGTCAAGCCTCGTTATCAAAGAATAGATCAGGCTGAGGTTAACTTTATCCAAATAGCTTTGTATAAGTTGGTGAATTTTTATCCAATCAAAACTACCTTTATTTATTATCTCAGTCCCTGATGCAAGTTTAAACTTTTAAAGTGAAACACTGTAAAATATAACACTTATCATGTCACCTGATGATGAAAATGTAAATTGTAGAAACATTGTGTATAATAAAACTCAGGAATAGTATACTATAAAATTATGATCTGTTATTTAATACAGTAAAATATGTAATAGTTTCGGATATGTTGAAGAGATGCTGTTTATGATGTATAGAAAACCTCTTTACAATCTCTTTAACTTCAGGCTCTTGCACTCCAAATTCCTTGTTTGATTCCCTCTTTCACTCAGCTTTGATATTGTAGGAATGGAGACCATATTCACACCAACTTTAAAGATATGTACCAACATCTACGTAACAACGGTTATTTTATCGAGGTTTTAGGTTCCCCGTTTACTTGTTTTGATTCTTCACAATATGGTAAGAATTATGCAGGGGTGTCAACAAGTGTCACCTCAGCTCAACAAGTTATGGACTTGTCTCTTGACAAGGAAGATCAGTTCCAGCATAGTTTAAGATAGTGGACAAGAAACATTTTTCCTCTAGCTGTTCAAGTATTGAATAAGTTCAAAAGTTTTCAATTTATAAGAATTCGTTGGTGAATTTGCAATGCTGTCTTTAATCATTGCAGATTGTGGTGCATTTGATATCTTGTTTTCCTTAAAAACTATTAAAAATAGGACATAGAATTACAAGTTTTCTTTATTCTTTAAAATCCAGTTTATGTTAAGGTGCATCAAAGTAGGAAGTAAATCTCCATTTTATTTGTGTTTGTAGGAACGTTATTAATGGTGGATGGAGAAGAAGAATATTTCCCTGAAGAAGTAACAAAATTAAAACGTGATATTGATAATGGTTTGTCTGTGATAATATTTGCTGATTGGTACAACGTATCTGTTATGAAAAAAGTTAAATTTTACGATGAAAACACGAGGTACATATACCAGAGTTTAGCTGTTCTTTTCAGATGATGTTGAGTTGGTACCAACAGTGTATAAATAAAGACTGTGTGTATTGGTTGAATATTATTATTTTTAAATCGCGATCATACAGTAACACCAGATTATAAAACTCTTTATTTCTATATTGTAAATTTAACAGCACTTAACATAATATACAGCTTTAGCTTCGTGACCTTGGCCAGTGCTATTTTAGGGAATTTTGATTAAAACAGAAAAAAATGAGAGTAGTAAAAAGGTTAAATGGTTGATTTGAAATACTTACACCTTACAAACAACCTTACTTACAGAGATATTAATAGTTGCTTACGGTAGCTCCCGTTAGTTTTAGTGGAATTGCAAGAACCACAGACGTCAAGTGAAAATTGGAATGACGCAAATTGATGCTACCAGTGTTTCACGATATAAAAAGTTTAGAAAACCTCATTAACATTTTAGTGGAATGTTTGGTTTCAATTATCCCTGGAAGTCAAAAAGTGTATATTATCTTTGTTTCATCTGCAGTTTGTTTGCATCTTTGATTGAACTTTCTGTGACATCAAATGAATATTCCATATTGCATTATAGCATATTGATGTCAATATTTACCGACATCAATAAGAATCAGTGTTGTTACGGATAACAACAATAGAGAACAAAAAATCACTTTGAATTTTGGAAATGGTGAGAGACATACTTATTTTTTCAGACAATGGTGGATGCCTGATACAGGTGGCGCTAATATTCCTGCAATAAATGATCTTCTTTCACCTCATGGTATGGCCTTTAGGTAAGTTAGAAACTTTGTTTAAATTTTTACTTGACAATGGCATATTCTAAATAAACTGTAATTTAATAGCATAATTGATCAAAAACATTACACTATTTTGAAGTTGTTTCTCCTTTGATACTTTTTGCGTTGCCAATTTCAGCTTTAATAATATTTCTTACATAATTTCATTTGGAAATAAATGATTGAAATTGTAAATCAGAACGGTATAAATCTTGAAAAGTGTCCCTCTCTTCAAATTCCAATAAAAGTTTTCCTTTGTTTTTCCAGTGATCAAGTATTAGAAGGGGATTTCAGTTTAGGAGATCACGACAGTAAGCTATTATTTCATTAATCGCGTAATTTATACCAATGTCCTGTACTGTTGACGTTCATTTCAACCAATCAGAGCAATAGAACAATTATGTAATAACTGTCATTTAATCCTTCTTTGTGGTTTCATTTCAGTGTATTACGCCTCAGGAACAAGTATTGCTAAATTTCCTCAAGATGGTATTTTAATCACCCAAACTCTTAAAAATCAAGGTCAGTTATATCTATGTCTATTGTTCTTCCCTGTGGAGGTTGGCAGCCACTTATGCAATTGCTAACGAACACTCACTTACAGGTTCTTATTACGTAGGGTGTAAGAGAAGTGTAGTTCAAATTTGAGGTTATTCGATATTTTACACAAGACAAATTTTCGTTAAATTGAATGCATTTTGTAGATTGTAAACTTGATGTGTTAAAGGAGATCACATTGACAGCTTTTAGGGTATTGTCTAGATGCCCAGTTCCCGGCCTGGGATGTTTTCACCCCCCTGGGTGTATCAGATGTAGGAGAAGTATTTCACAAGTTTCATAAATTTTGGTGGTGTGGAAGGTTCAAATGAAGGCTGAAAAAGATTGGGAACTACTGGTCTAGATATTGAAGTAATCTCCTCATAATAACAGAGACAAAAGACATCCTGTCAAAAACAATTAGCCTCATATCTTTTGTTATTGGCGTATTTTCTTGAGATTATTGCTTCATAACTTTTAAGCTGAAACCAACTTTGAATTACAGGATATGAGGTGTTGAAGTCAGAAACTCAGATGGCTGAGAATGTACCAATACTAGGTCTTTATCAAAATAGGACCAATAAAACCAGTGGTAGAATAGTTCTATATGGTGATTCTAACTGTCTAGATACCAGCCATCTACAAAAAGGTAACAATACTTTCTTTCTTTTGTGAGTCTTTCAGGTGATATTCAAATTAAAACCTAGCAACCTAAAACTGTCCCTTCCGGTTCCTAAAACATGATATAAGGATGTTATATGGTAGTCGAACTCAATCCATTTTTGGATCGCTTCTTTTTGAGATTTATCACCAAGACAAAAGCGATCTGGAATAACTTTTGGTATGTTTTCGAAACTTGACCAATTATGTTGTGTGCATGCCACATGTAGTTTTCAACAAAATTGTACTGACCTCAATCATGTGATCCACATTCTTGCATGAATTATATTTATGAAGATGTAGGAAGGAAAGAAAACCATACCCACAGACTGTTTTTTGATACACAGGACATGGTAGAATATCTGTTAATATCTTGATGGACTCATTAATGATTAAGATTTGTATAAATATTTGACTATTTGTTATTGTAGATTGTTTTTGGTTGTTAAGTGCTATGCTAGAGTATACAGCCTACAATAATCTACCTACAGTAGTAAGAAATGTAGATAAAGTCAGTCTACCACCTGATATAGAATTACCTGAGAGGATGGAAGGTAGGCCATAAACACTTTTATTCTTAATCTTTTTATGACTAGTGGCTAATCAACCAGGCATGTTACATATTCCTGAGCAAACTGAAGTCCTCATGAGACCTCATATAAAACTCTAAGTTATATAACTTGGTTAAAAAAACAATGGACTTGTGTTAAACAAAAATCCCCGATATCAGCACACTTATTACTGGGAATGGAATAATTTTTATGTAATCCAGTTAACTGGACATGATGATTTTTTTTATTTACCGTCGGTGTTTAAGGGTTATGTTTGTTTGTAAATTTTAGAAGTTTTCATTGTGTTACTAAGACATATGACATAGATTCCTAGATTCTCTGGGATAGAATAAATTGTAGTAGAATAGGCTAGTCTCTTATTGAGTCAAATTATTACTTGAGCTACCATGAAAATTAAAGGGACTTCACGCCTTGATTTTTTTAATTGTTCGCTGCAGTGTACTGATATAATATAATAGCTCAACTTTAATCAACTATCAAAATAAGATGCTCTTTGATAACAAACAAGATTAAAAATATTTGTATATCTCAATCTATAGGCAACCATCTTCATCGTTACTCAAAGGTTATTGAAGGTAATTTAGGAACACCAAGGTCAAGGCCACTACCTCCTTGTCCACCATTGATATGGGCCCAACCTCATCCCATTAATAAATCAGCTCCAAGGTAAGTTCCAGATTACTTTCCTTGTCCACCATTAATAAGGACATTGTTTATAGCACTCCATGCGGGCCGACATGGGAAAAGTGTCTAGTCATTGTGGAACTATCAACCAAAGTCTGATTTGCTACAATCTGTTCATAAAAAATGTTTCCTCGACAGCTGCTTAGTGCCAATGTCCTGACAAAATTTGAGGTTGCCCTCAAAGGAAAAAAGCATTTCTTTTTGATCTTTAGATATAAAATGATATTTTAAAACCAAATATTGATTTCAGCAATCTATATCAGCAACCAAGATTAAAATCACTGCCAATAGAGGTGCCATTTTTACCAAAACAGCTACCTGAGCTGGTACTAAAACCAGACTTTCCGATTGAACAGGAATTAAAACCTCCATCACTGCTTCATGAATCTTCAAACTTTTATCCAGTGTTAGCGTTCATAGGAACTGGACTAGTAGTGTTGTTTCTTCTTAATCAATATTATCAAAGCCGTTCTCGTCCAAAACGTAAACGAACGAAGCCTCGGGCTCGGAAACTCCAACAATTTTTTTATGGACGTGTTCCCGGGGTGTGATATCCGAAACATCAGTTATGCTGACATCTTTTTTGTGATTTTAAAAGTTCTAGAATTATGAAAATTTCATAATCTAATCCATTCACGTCTAATTTATGGATGTATTCCAGGAATGCTATTCTAGGAGTATAATAAGCGAAACATCAGTATACCTTGTATGTGATTTTAAAAGTTCAAGTAGTATGAAATCCATTCACATTTAAACAACAAATAATCAAAAACTTGATCTTGAAAACTTAAAAAGTAATGATTTATGAAATCCATTGATCTGTTAAATTCAATCGAAGCTTTGCCAGAAAAAATTCAATGTACTGCTTTGGTCCAGATTTTGGGAAATTTTTGCATCTTGGCTGAAGTCCAACATAGGCTTGTGATTCTATGACATTTGGGCTGTCCTGGAAAATAGATCACAATTAACAGCTCTCAGGAATTTGAGGATTACAAAATCTTTATGGTGAATTTTATTTAACCAAACAGAACCTCCATCTTGAACATGTAAAATTCATTAAATGGACATATAAGTTAATTAATTATATTATATGATACAAACTTCAAGAAAGCCTGACAAAACTTACTGAAGATCGTCTCCCCTTCAATGATAGTGATGGATTCTTGGGTGAAGCTGGAGGCTATGATGACTGGCCTACTGGTCGTGGTATTTTCTTCAACAAACTTCAACCGTTATCATTGTTATTGAGATTGCGATGAAACAATCTGTATGTAAATTTAGTGCTTGACATTTTACAATTCATCTGCATTCAACACAAAAGAGTTTAAGCCCTGTATTAAGGATTAAGATCAAAATCAATAAAAGTTGTGTATTGTGTATTTTGCCTGTGTTAACATAAGTTTGAAGTGGACATCTTCAACAACAAGTGTTTGTACGCTTTTAGAAGGATGTCTAGAATTTACTCTGAAGAGTAATCTGAAAGCTAGTTCAAAACATCATAATGAAATAAAGCCTCAGCCACGACAAGAATTGCGAATTGGTCCTAGACCGGTAGTTTGAGATCTTGGATTTGCAAAATGAATAGATTTCCTAGTCTTCATTATTAGATGTGGTCGTGCCGTTTGAAATCAAAAACTTTATCACCAGACTTTATAGAAACCAGTTTAATATAGACAAAATATGTACAGGCTAGGTTGTCATCAAGGTTGGACAGAATTTAACAGACAACAAGAAACACCTTAATTTTACAAATGAGCTCTTCCAATCATAAAAATACAGTTTTATATTGATTGAAAGTATGCATGTGTGGAAGAGTTCAATAGAAAGTTAAGGGGTGACAAACTATTTCCGGCCTAAGAAGCTTTAAGGATGTAAAATGGAAGAAGTAAGAAGACACCTGTTAAGAGTGATTAAAGTATTTTATACCTATCGCCGTCGTTGAGATGACTTCATCAGGTGAAATGGTGGATGAAGTCGACCACGAAAGCTCACAGAATATAATACTTTAGCCACTTTTAAAAGTTGTATTCATACTTCTTTTATACACAGAGTGATAAGATGTAAAATGGAGATAGTGTAATTTATTTTAAGTATTTTGTTTGCAATAAGTTTGTTAATTATTATAATCATGAATTGTATAGCAACTATATAAATCTTATATTTTTTAGAATTTGAGAGAGTATATGAGGGGTTAATTCCGACTGGGGTGGATGCATTTTTCAATTACTTTTTTTTTTCTTTGCATGGTGGGAAATTTGTGTGAAAATCAGAAAGGGAAATTATCAGTATGAATTCTTTCAATACTGTAAAATCTGTTTTTTTTTGCAAATCTCAAATTTTGACGATTAGCTGTAAACATTATTACTGATTGGCTTGGTTAAAAATTTCCTGTTTCTGAGACTAAAATTTGATTGGTCAAAAGGAATGGCGCATTGTCCCTTTAAGTGGTGTTTTAATACTAGATTTGGAAGAGAGAGAATGAATGAATGAATGTATTTTATAGAAACTTTGTAATCAGAATTTGTTGAAAATGTATCAGTATTATTACATGTTGAAAATAAACTCAATTTTAAATTTTGATTTTAAGTTTATTTAAGGTCTATGTGTGATTGTATAAAATATATTTTTATTGTGTTCAAATTAAAGCGTGTATAGAGTTAACAATCATTAATGTCATTTAAATATAGAAGACCCCTTAGAAGACATCTTCATGATGGCAAACTCCATTTAATACCTTGACATTATTAGGCACACTTCTTGTATCACAGAAAGCTGTAAATGCAGCCATTTGATTGGACGCCACCGAATACAACCATTCAGAGAAAGATCTCATCTGCCATTTTCTTTAATTGTTCTAACAATATATTCAACCCTTATAAAAGTTTTAATATCAATCTAATTTTCAAACAAGAAATGTGCCTATTGATGTCAAGGTTTTAGACAGAGACTGTTATAGCTTGAAATTGTGAATGATCATTGCGCTGAGTTGATAAGTAACATTCTATTAGAGAACCAACAGAGTAGATAGAGTTTATATTTCAGTCAAGATTTGACTCTAAATTTACAGTAAAAATAGTCATAAAATGCAGTTAGTAATTCATTTGAAATGACTAAAATCATTCTTTTTATAAATCAAACTATCCCTTCTATATCTCTTCATCTTCACAATACCAAGCCATTACAAACTTCTTCTTATACCTTGACTGCAATAGTCACTATTTTTGTCACCAAAGTTTGTAAATGCAGCTACATGTATTTTATTGCATTGTACCCACGTGAATACAGCCAATCAGATATCTCGACAGAATACATGTATCTGAACACAAAACAACAGCCTTTCTGTCAAGGCCTCTGATTGGCTATATTCGCTGGCAATCAATCCAATCAAAGCACTGCATTCAGTGATACAAAAATAATGGCTATTATAGTCAAGGTATAAGTATTACGTTTGTAATACCTTAACATTGTGAAGAGGTTATCTCTTCATCTCAGGTCCTTGTCTTGTCTATACCATAGTTAATATTCTCATTCTTTCTCAAATTTCATTAGAAATGCAAGTGTGGATGGTCTGATTCATCTTTTTTTGTGCAATCCATGATCTGATGAAATTGTTATGCAAATGCTATTGTTCTAGGTCATTTAATATTCAACCAATCAACTGCTTTGTTCACTTCAAAAGTGAGGATTTCTGGATATTCATGGCTAATTATTCTTTGACTTGAATTGTATATTTTGCTAAGAATAAATTGTAGCAACTTTTGATGCTATTGGGTCTATATGTTGACTTGTATTGTCTAACCACTATCAACAGTGGTTTTGATTGGTTAGCATAAACTTTGGGTTAATATTCCACAGAACATGATTTAAAGAAGAATCTCTTCAGATCATGTTTGATAAGATTAGTAACTTGCAGAAAAAACATGAAACAAAGCATCTAGATTTGTTTTTTTAATCAGATTGTTTGTTCAATAATATTATTGTAGAAATCCATTTTATTTATTACATTTTTCACTTTATATTGCTGTACTTTATAAATGTTAAAGATATACTACCAATTAGGATGACCAAAAAGAATATTTTTAAATTTGACCAAAATGAGTCTTTGTTCATCAGTGAACTTACTGGGTGTCAAAACTATACAACAGAATCTCTCTTTCATCTAATAAATCCATAAAACTAAGTAATAATCTATACAACTAAAAGAAATTATTGAAAAACGCTTAATATCTTCAAGGTTTTTTCGATATTTTTTTTATTAAATGGATTGATCTACATATACAGGGATTCTGTTGTTTAATCATGACACCAGGCAAGTCCACTGATGAATATATGAATGACTTTATGAAATTATGGCCATTCTAAGAGACATTATTAATGATATTTGTTCTCTGAAATCACAAAATGAAACTTAGTTACGTATACTCATAGCTTCTCAGACTTTTTGGGCTAACAGAGTTATTATGGTTACCCTGGCCACGTATTCTCGAAACGATCTTAGTGCTAGCATGTCCTAGGTTCTTATCTTCTAACACCGATTCTAGGACATCCTAGCGCTACGATTGTTTCGAGAATACATTGCCTGTACTAGAAACGATCTTAGCGCTAGCATGTTCTAGGGCCTAGGTTTACGGCTGTTTAAAGGACATCCTAGCACTAAGGTCGAGAATACATGGCCAGGATATGATAGGATTAGAATTTGTATCTTGAAATATACAATACTTATATATTGAAATAGTTGAAGCGTAGATTCCATTCAGTGGAACTTTGTGGCTTCCAAACAATCAACCATGATGCGTAGATTATTCAACAATAAAGAAACCGCAGAGACTTGCTTATTTCATGGCTTCTTGATTAATTAGTGGTTTGACCAGCTGATGAAACATGATTCTGCAACCTGCTATTAATATCTCCTTCTCAGTGGCATGCTTAGAAAAATAGTTTGGGCCTCCAATTGATTTCCAACAAAGTTAAAAATATATCATTTTTATACTTTTTTCGCCCTAAATGTGTGTAAGAAGGCATTAAACCAATTCCTTTTTTTCAAAAATTTCTCTGGGAAAGAACTCTGCTCCTTCAATGCTTTGTTTATATAATAGTCCTTTATTAGAAAAAAAAGTAGACGCCAAAGTCTTTCAAATAAAAGATGTGGCAATAGCTGGATATAAATTCCTTTTGCAGGTAAGCCAAACAAGATGAGAGAATTATTAATTGTATATCATTTATAATTATCATTATGTAATGTATATATATATATATTTATAGTTCATTGTAGAAAATCTAAAAGAGACTGTAGAAATGCGCTTTGATTAAAAGATAAAATAATGAATTTATAATGTATCAATGTTTGTGTTCATATACCGTACATTTGTGTGTGTAATGCGCACTTTTTTTGTGGAATAAGCTAGTAAAACTTGTGAAAACACCGAATCAGTCTTATGGCGTCAATGTTGCTTCCTCATTTTGCATCTCAACCATTTGTCCCCCAACAAGTCTCTCTGCCCTCTATTTGTACCCCCATCTCCAGAGGGCTGACACCTTCACTGCTTTCTGGACCGATTAGTTACTGCTCTTTTTAGGTTAAGATGTGCAAGCCAGTAGCGGAGCCAAAGGGGTAGGGGGCGCAGAGGGTCAGCCACCCTCCGCAGCCCCGAAAGCAAGTTTTTCGTGCAAAAACCTCATAACTAGGTTAGACATTCGGGCAATCTCGGATATTTCGCCCCCCTCGGACGTAAACCCGGCTTCGCCACTGGTGCAGAGCGAAAGAAATCGATATAAAAGGCTCGAATAATAAATTTTATCTTTATTTATATAATTGGTGGTTCTACAGCATTGTTATATTGTGAACTACTAGTGAACATCATTTATTTTTGCATCAGAATATTGTTTACTATGATCATACCACCTTCAACATCAGATTCAGTCAAATATTGTTTGTTGACCTTCTTTACTTCTATCACACCCTCCGTTACCTTTTTACCATCTCGAATCACATACAGATAATCTCGTTGCTACAAAGAAAAACATTGATTAAGTTACTACATACAAAGTTAATAAGCTCACTATAAGGTTACTCTCACAGTGGCCTGTATATGAGATAACTGTAAGAAGGTTACTATCACGCTGGTCTGTATATGAGCTCAGTATAAGAAGGTTACTATCAAGATACCCTGTATATGAGGTCATAAGAAGGTTGATATCAGGATGACCTATATATATCATGAACCCAGTATAAGAAGGTTACCATCTAGATGACAGAAATACGGATTGGAATTTAAATTACAAGAACAATCTTCTTTTCTTACCGTTATGTCCTTGACATATACTGGTACCATTCTTCCACGTTCATCATCCTTATAGAGTATATGATTTGGTTGTAATTCTATTCTAGAAGACGGTAGTGATATCTGTATATAGAGTGGTCCATTACTGAATCTTCTATCAGTCTCATCATACTGAAAAACCGATAAAAGTCGCTTAAGGGGTTGTAAAGAGGTTTTCTAAATTTTTATGTTTATTGACGTCATCAAACACTTATTTTTGTGCAACTGCAGGAATCACAGAGATCTGACTGAAAATTGGAATGGTGCAAATAGATGTTATCAGTATCCCCAATACACATAAAAATTTAGAAAACCTCTTTACAATCCCTTTAAATGCTCGACATATAATCCTATCGAAAATGGACAGAACAATAGTTTAAATCTATTTCAGAATTATCAATAATCAAACAAACAAAAAACATATAACCAAATCTTGATAACATGTCTGAAAAACAGTTTGAACAGCGGCTCAACAAGATGATTGGGGGCCCGTGGGTTTGGGCCTCTCTCCCGGGAAATTTGTTTTAACATATTATACCCTTCTACAATTTTGTCTATGGGCGGGGTCCTCTTAGGGGTTAGGGCTAGGGCGTTTGGTTAAACCAGTTCTCGTGATAGTTCAGCCACTGAATTTGGATGTCTAAATTAAAGTTTTGATTTGATTTGATTTGATTTGATTTGATTTGATTTGATTTGATTTGATTTGATTTGATTTGATTTGATTTGATTTGATTTGATTTGATTTGATTTGATTTGATTTGATTTGATTAATTTGATTTGTTAAATCTCCTTATTTAATAATTTCTATCATTTGATGAATCCAATTTAATTATAAGCTTTGTTTTTATTGTCTGTTGAGCGCAAAAATAAAAAGTGAAATTGAATAAAAAATAGATTAACTTACGTTCATTTTCTCGCTACGTTGGCTAGTAGACATATTGTATGATTTATTCCGAGTCTTGATCCACAAAAATATACACCAGTAAATATCTCTTCTCAAGTTGTTGAAGCGATATGAAGTTTTATATGAAAAACGGTGCTTATATAGGGTTTTTATGGGAATTTTAGATTACTCAGCACCGTAATTAGACTTGTGATTTTGGAAATTTAGAAAGGTAAACGTCAGCATTATAAAAGTGCTGAATAATGAAGCTAACGTCATCCACCTTAATAATGTAAAAGGGAAATTCCTTAAAAGAAATTTATTGAAGTTTATCCAGACTTACAGACAGTTAATGGGTAGTAACTTTCTTATTCTTTCCTTAGATCCATAAAACAAGTTATAAAATACAACGACACTATCTACTGTAATATGACCTAATTATTTCACAATTATATTTTAGATATATAGATCCAGAACATCACAAAACCTACCCCAATGTTTGGCAGTGGCTCAACGTGAATGACGACCCTTCCCCTGGGAAATTTAATTTAGGGTCCGTGTACTTCATTCAACCAGTCCCTGGGGTAGTTGAGCCACCGAGGTTTGATCACAATAATTACAGCTACAGTTGACAATTATTTTCATCTTTCCTGCTTGCTTAAAGGGACAGATTCGCTATTTTTAGGGATTTAATATGGGAAGTGAATATATGTGAATAGTCTTCTGAAGTACCAGAAAGTACGAAAATTGCATTATTCCTTCAAAAATACGTATCATATGGCAGAATCAATGTTATTTTCAAACGCAGATAATTCTAGACAGACACACGTAGATTTGTAGGAGTTAAAGGCTTAAATTTCTACGGTGAGCTAAGAACACTATTACCGATTGGTCAAACGGATATGGACCTCCACCCCCGCCCCCATCCCCACCCTTAATTATCGGAGTTTTTACAAACGCAAAAATCACTTACAAGTTGGTATTACAATGTCTTTGATAGAAAACAGAAAATTTCACACATTTCCTTTCTGGAATTTTCAATAAGGGAATTCCTCTTTTTTGAACGGAATATAACGTATTCTTAAACTTAAGTTTTTTTTTTGACTGTCAATCAATCAACCTTAGACCGAAATATAAAAATACAGTGAAAGGTATACCTACTTGAATGTAGCATAATACGTTCTTTGTTATTATCATTATATGTTATTCATTTGGAAAGATACAATTTTATAGCTTACCTCATTCTATTGTAGTATTCGTCTATATAATATATATATATATTCCGGCTTTCCCCGGTCAATGATGCAGGTCGGAGAGGCTGACATGGAAAAACCCGCAGATCGGATCGAATATATCGCAGTAACAAACTATTTCTAGAAATCCGAAATCTCGATTTCGACCGTGAGGTGTGAACACTATTACTGATTAGCTCAGGTAAAATAAATCCCGTTTCTGAGACTAAAGTATCATTGGTCAAAAAATGGCACATCTGTCCCTATAAGGCAAAGGCTCTCCAACATTTTGTGTTTGATATTCCCAGCGATCAGAGGCAAGGCATTTTGTGCTGATACATCGTTATTTTTTTGGTTATGAATCCTAAATTTTACCTGCAAAATCAAGATAGGGCTACTTGATCCATATCATTCCCCTCGGGAGAGGTCGGGATTGTTTGTTCACCCGGAAATTTTAAGAATAAGAAGCCTGCAAACGCTATTCCCAGTGATCTAACAAAACATTTTATATTTTGATAATCGTAACTTTTACCTGCAAAATCAACAAGCGTGCTTGATTCATACTATTTCCCGAGGGGGTTGGGGAGTTTTTCAGAATTAGAAGCCTGCGAATCCTATATCCAAGTTATAAGACAAAACGTTTTCTATAGATGTATTTCTCGTGATTTCGAAGAAGGGGTTATTTTAGAATCCCTGTCAGAGCTGACACGTGACAAAGCAAGCAAAAAGTTTCCACACTTCAACAATGGTACAGCCCGGGAGGGTAGGGCGTTGGGTGATATTTCATCAAAAATTGTTTTGTCTCAGATTGCTGGAAATAGCGTTTACGGCTTCTTTTTCTTAAAAATGTCCACATATAACCCCGTGACTACCCTCGCATGCCCCCTCCCCACCCTCGAAATAAAACCGATCATCGAAGCATCGTCCAAGCGAAATTAGTTTATCGGATAAATACTCTAGAATTTATTGCAGTAACAACCTTTTTTTAAGAAATCCGAAATTTCGACTTGTGGAATCCGAAATTTCGACTTGTGGAATCCGAAATTTTCGACTTGTGGAATCCGAAATTTCGACTTGTGGAATCCAAAATTTCGAGTTGAGCAAAGTATATTAAAAAAAAAAAAAAATTTTTAAGGTGTGCCTAAAAGGCATTCGTACTTTCGTACGTAGATATCTATGTCAACCCTTCTTTAAACCTTGTTCAACACATCGGCAACTGTAAAGTTGAAAGTTCTGTAACCTGTTTCAACCCCCAAGCTACAACCTTTTTCAACCAGCAACCACATAGATTTCAGTAGCTAAATTTGAGGTTGAGGTTGTGCAATGTTGCTACTGGCTCTAGGCATTGTAGTCATCGCCGTCGCGTTGTAGGAATCGCCACCGTTTTGTACGCATCGCATTGCCAAAATGTTTTTTTTTATGGATTTCGAGTTTCGTTTTGCGTTTCAGATTGCTCGTACTTGGGTTTTATTATACCGTATTGTAGGTATCGCTTCAGTATTGTAGATATCCCTTCTACATCGTAGGTATCGCTTCTGCATTGTAGGTATCCTTTGGCATTGTAGGTATCCCTTCTGTATTGTAGGTATCCCTTCTGTATTGTAGATATCGCTTCAGTATTGTAGGTATCGCTTCAGTATTGTAGGTATCGCTTCAGTATTGTAGGTATCGCTTCAGTATTGTAGGTATCGCTTCAGTATGTAGGTATCGCTTCAGTATGTAGGTATCTCTTCAGTATTGTAGGTATCGCTTCAGTATTGTAGGTAACCCTTCCACATCGTAGGTATCGCTTCAGTATTGTAGGTAACCCTTTCACATCGTAGGTATCGCTTCGGTATTGTAGACATCACTTCAGTATTGTAGACATCCCTTCAGTATTGTAGGTATCGCTTCAGTATTGTAGGTATCGCTTCAGTATTGTAGGTATCGCTTCGGCATTGTAGACATCGCTTCAGTATTGTAGACATCGCTTCAGTATTGTAGGTATCGCTTCAGTATTGTAGAAATCGCTTCAGTATTGTAGGTATCGCTTCAGTATTGTAGATATCCCTTCAGTATTGTAGGTATCCCTTCAGTATTGTAGGTATCGCTTCAGTATTGTAGACATCACTTCAGTATTGTAGGTATCCCTTCAGTATTGTAGGCATCACTTCAGTATTGTAGGCATCACTTCAGTATTGTAGGTATCGCTTCAGTATTGTAGACATCGCTTCAGTATTGTAGGTATCGCTTCAGTATTGTAGACATCGCTTCAGTATTGTAGGTATCGCTTCAGTATTGTAGGTATCGCTTCAGTATTGTAGGTATCGCTTCAGTATTGTAGGCATCGCTTCAGTATTGTAGACATCGCTTCAGTATTGTAGGCATCGCTTCAGTATGTAGGTATCGCTTCAGTATTATAGGTATCGCTTCAGTATTGTAGGTATCGCTTCAGTATTGTAGGTATCGCTTCAGTATTGTAGGTAACCCTTCCACATCGTAGGTATCGCTTCAGTATTGTAGACATCGCTTCGGTATTGTAGACATCGCTTCAGTATCGTAGGTATCGCTTCAGTATGTAGGTATCGCTTCAGTATCGTAGGTATCGCTTCAGTATTGTAGACATCGCTTCAGTATGTAGGAATCGCCTCAGTATTGTAGGTATCGCTTCAGTATTGTAGGTATCGCTTCAGTATTGTAGGTATCGCTTCAGTATTGTAGGCATCGCTTCAGTATTGTAGACATCGCTTCAGTATCGTAGGTATCGCTTCTACATCGTAGGTCTCCTCCGAATTGTAGGAGTCGCAAACCCCACACATTGTTGGTAATGCATTCGCACTAATCAAAATGGGCCTCTGCATTCAGGAGGCTATAAACTGAGGTGAAGAATTCACACTTGCCCTTGATGAGCTCTATTCGAGTTGAGGGAAACCAGACCAAATCAAGGGTGTTCTTAAGGAAAGTTTGTGTCTGATGATCCTGTCTGATCTCATGTTGAGTCACTGGAACCGAATTGGTCAGAATTTGTGGGTCAATTGTGTTAACCCAATGAACTGGCCACATATTCTCGAAACGATCTTAGCGCTAGGATATCATAGAATCTACGATAGAAGATAAGAATCTAGGACATCCTAGTACTAAAATTTGACGGCATTTTTGAAAAGTTCGTTATTAGTTTCCTATCTGCTAATAATACATTTATTTAGTCTAAAATGAATATTAAGAGTGCCACAAACAGATTTAGATAATATCAATGGAATTTGGCGGCCATCTTGGATTTCATTTATATTCATGCAGTTCATATAGATGGATTTTGGTGGATTTTCATTTCTGGACGGAAGGAAGCATATTCAAATTGACAATATTTTCCATCAAAATATCTTTCCCTTTGTTTCAACCTCTTGTAACAAGAGGTTGAACGTGGTTGAAGAAGGCTGCCTTGTGTGAACATCACAAGTAGGTTGCTAGAGATTGATGGTTGAAAGAAGTTTCAGATAGAAAGGCTGTCCTGTGTGAACCCAACTTAAAGGTTCATAACTTTCAATATTTCAATTTCGGAGAAATATTCTGAAGAGAACTTGTGTGACTTTGATTTTTTTCAGCAAGTTGGCTAGGTAAAATTAACATGTTTCAACGTGATTTTGGCTTTATTTCTATATAAATATTTCTATTTTTGAAATCCCCGCTACGGCCTAGATCTATTCATAAGGTTTGGTCACCTAACGTGTCACAAATAAACGTGTATGCAGATAGTTCTAGTAAAAAAGGGAAAGCCCTGTATTTATTGAGAGATATTATGTCAGCATGTTTCATCATGCGATACTTTGTGTCGTTCCTTTGTTTCTGTTATTTGTAGGTAAGAACAACGTGTAGCTTTTAAGCTTACATAATCAGTAATAGTATTCACAGCCACAGCTCATCATAGAATTTTGAGTATCCATAATTATTCACGGGCTTGGGACGCCCCTTTTTGATTTCCATGTCGGGTGTTTCACAATACATCTGCGGGTGCATAAAATTTCATCACTGAAGGCTACACAGATTGGAAGCATGCTGTAGGTGATACTGGAAAGGGCCTCGAGAAGCATAACAATTGAGGTGTCAAAACAATTTCTCCAAGATAACGTTGCCAAGACAGAAAATCAGGACACCAATCTTGTTCTTCAAAAACTATACGAGTAGAAATTGGCTTTCCCTAAATTATATGCACTGGCTGCAAGCGTTGCCACATTCGGTTCTAGTACCACTGTGTGTGAAAGCAGCTTTCCAACTCTTACTCGCGTTGACTCACCACAACGACGATCTATGACTCAGCTTCGCCAGCGCAATCTTGTTCTTCTTGCCTTCAACAGGAAGCGTACCCAGAAAATTAACTTGGACGTATTTGTTCAACGTTTTGCCATAAAACATACCCGACTACGTTTAAACTAAAACGGCAATAAAAATGTAACGTATTATAACTTGTGTGTTTTAACAAAAATAATCTCGAATCTAAAATATTCCATGAAAGTCCGTTTCCCGATTTTTAATCGTCTTTTAATACTGGGACCAGGAATACTGGTCAGGCTACGGGCCTGTTACAGGGACAGATTTTCTGGACTTGATTTTGGTGGTGAATATTTGTAAATAGTCTTCAGAAGTAATTGAAAAGTATGAAAATCGTATTACATGAGTTGAACTAGCTAAGCCTCTTTATTCATTCAAAACAAAATAGTTCTGCAGTTGATCCAATTCTCTCATAAGAGACCAACTCCAGTAAGAGACCATTTTTGATTATTCCCGCGTGTGGTCTCTCAATACAGTTTCTACTGATTATTCCTTAAAATATAACTCCTACCAGGAATTAAACTTTCAATTTCTATATGTCTTTTCTATTATATGGTAGGTTGGTCATTGTTACTTTCAAACGCGGGTAATTCTGGACACACATAGATTTGAAGGCTTAAAATTCGACGGGGAGCCGTGAACACTATTACTGGTTAGCTAAGCGAAAAAATTCCCTCATCTGAGACAAAGGTACGATTGGTTAAACAGATGGCGAACCTGTTCCCCTTAATCTTCGGAGTATTGACAAACACCTAAATTACTTATATTCCTACCGTCTGAAATTTTCAATAAAATAGTTTCTAAATTATTTTACGGAATATAACATATTTTTAAACTTTTTTCATATTTTGAAAGACTGTCAATCAACCTTAGAGCGAAATAGTAAAATACTTACTTAAATGGAGCCAAAATCCGCGAATAGACGATGTACGATGTACGGTGTGATGTGACAAGAAACGATTTTATAGCTTACGTCAATCTATTTCTGTATTATTATACACTGATAAAAACTAGTTCTAACAGTAATCCATCCCGTAGCTACAGGGGGTGTGGGGGGGGGGGGGGGGGGGGGCCGAAAAATAAAACCCAAATTTG